ATGGGGGTAATCAATGGAATGCCAATCAATCGGCTAGTCTTCGAGATTTTATTCTGGATATGGGCCTCATCGATCCGGGGTACCAGGGAGATCCGTTTACCTGGACGAACAAACGAATGGGACCTGCGTGCATTCGGGAACGTTTAGATAGAGCCCTTTGTTCTCAGTCCTGGTTGGATCGGTTTCCAGATACCCTGGTAAAACACTTTACGGACCAAGGGTCGGATCATCGGGCAATTTTGTTATCTGATAAACCTTATGTTCGTAATAGTCGGCCTCTTTTCCGATTTGATGCCCGTTGGGCGGAGAACCCGGAAGTTCGCGCCATGGTGGCCTATGTCTGGAAGGAGGAAATTCAGGGTACCCCCATGTTTAGATTGTGGGAGCGTCTCAAGAAGCTCCGCCATTTGCTCTATGATTGGAGCCGCGCGGGTACGACGAATTCTTTGAGAAATATAAAGACCCTGCAGGCTGAAATAGATCGGATCAAGAAGGAGCAACCCATTAACTGGGATGAGGTCCGTTCTCTTGAGATGGAGTTGAGTAGACAATGGGAGGCGGAAGAAGAGTACTGGCAGCAAAAATCCAGGGTTCGTTGGCTTAAGAAGGGAGACAAAAACTCATCGTACTTTCATACGGTGACAAGAACCCGTCGTAAAAGGAATTTTGTGAGCGGCCTTCGGGATGACGCTGGTGAATGGATTACAGATGAGAAAGGCAAGGCAGATATTGCGACTAATTTTTATAGTGCCCTTTTCACCTCTGAAAATCAGATTCATGATATGTCTAATCGAATCCACAACTTGCCCATCTCCCGAAGTGTCACGCCGGATATGAATGCAGCGTTAACGGCGATAGTTTTACCGGAGGAGGTTCGAAGAACAGTATTTGCTATGGGATCGAAACAAGCACCAGGGTCTGATGGGTTCACTGGGAAGTTCTTCAAGGCCTTCTGGGATATCGTCGGTCCATCGGTTATTGATGTAGTCTGTTCTTTCTTTGCTTCGGGACGGCTACTTCGCAGTTTTAACCATACTTGGCTCACTTTAATTCCTAAGGTGGAAAATGTGGAGACAATGAGGCAACTGCGCCCTATAAGTTTATGCCAATTTGTGTATAAAATTATAACCAAGATATTGGCAGAACGCTTGTCTGTGATTCTTCCTCAGGTGGTTTCGGAAGGGCAGAATGGGTTTATTAAGGAACGTCAGATTGTGGATAATATCTTACTTGGACATGAGCTAATGCATTATTTAAAAACCAAAACTCGAGGGAAGAAAGGGTATATGGCTCTAAAGGTTGACATGGAAAAGGCCTATGATAGAGTCGAGTGGCCCTTTCTCTTTGCTGTTTTGGCTAAGTTGGGTTTTAGTTCCACCTGGGTAGGATGGATCAAGGAATGCCTCAGTTCGGCGTCTTTTTCAGTAATGATGAATGGCACCCCATCGGGTTTCTTTTCTCCGACCAGAGGGTTGCGACAAGGGGATCCCCTGTCTCCTCTCCTTTTTTGTGCTGTGCACGGAGGGGTTTGCGGCTTTACTTCGTCAAGCGATAGCGGATAAAAGGCTCGCAGGGGTTAGAGTGGCTCCCCGGGCGCCAAGACTGACGCATCTTTTCTTCGCTGATGATTCTTATTTGTTCCTGCGTGGGAATCTACAGGAATGTGAGAACCTTATTGAGGTCCTTAATGAGTATGAGGAGCTGAGTGGCCAAAAGGTGAACCTTGATAAATCGGCGGTTTGCTTTAGTAGGAATATATTGGTACAAGATCAAGAGTTCCTGGCGGCAGTCCTGGGGGTGGGTGCAGTTGGGGTCCATGATAAATATCTGGGGCTCCCGACGCTTATTGCAAGATCGAAAGTGGAGACCTTCCGGTATTTGGAAGCTAAGTTGTTGGAACGACTTCAGGGATGGAAACGGAGGACGCTGTCGTGGGCGGCTAAAGAAACGCTTATAAAATCAATCGCATTGGCTTTGCCTTTACATGTGATGTCCTGTTTCAAGCTCCCGTTATCCTTATGCCGCTTGTTAGACAGGCATGTTGCTCGCTTCTGGTGGGGGGAAAATGAAGGTCACTCTAAGGTGCGGTGGATGTCTTGGCGGGATATGTGTCGAAGTAAGCATGATGGGGGGATGGGTTTCCGCAGATTTGAGCAGTTTAATCAGGCGCTGTTGGCTAAAATTGGGTGGCGTATTCTCAGTGAGCCCAATTCCTTGCTGGCCCAAGTTTACCGTGGAAAGTATTTTCCTACTGGCCACTTTCTATCGGCTAAGGCGAGATCTCGTCCATCCTCGGGTTGGCAGAGTATCTTGTTTGGGCGGCAGCTTTTGGAGATGGGGTTACGCTGGCAGGTTGGAAATGGGCGTGCAGTTTCTATGCTCCATTCTACCTGGGTCCCTGGCTTTCAACTAGAGCCCATACGGTATAATCCTATAATTTTGCCAGAGTGTGGTGACCCGGCGGTGGCGGAGTTAATTTGTGAAGGCGAAGGGAGCTGGAGTGATGAAAAACTTAGTCAGTGGTTTGAACCGGAGACATGCCGTCTCATTAAAGCTATTCCGCTTCCGAAGGGTAATGTGGAGGATAAGCTAGTTTGGTTTGATACGCCCGATGGGGAGTTCTCGGTAAAGTCGGCCTACCATTTGGCTTTGGCGTTGGAGAAAAGGAGGGGGCGGTGGAGGTCTACGGTAAACTGGATGGATAGGGCTAGTTGGATAAGGCTGTGGGAGGCTAATATTCCGCCAAAGTTGAAGGTGTTTGGTTGGCAGATCTTCAATCGGATTTTACCGACCACGGAAGCTCTGATTAGTCGCCGTATTCCAGTCTTACCTCGTTGCCCGGTTTGTTGGGAGGCTTCTGAAACCTTGGAACACCTCTTTTTGGAGTGCCCGATTGCGCGAGCTCTCTGGGGGGCGGCGGGTATGGAACACTTTGGGGAGGGCCTACCTCGGCATACGTTTCCTTTGTTCCTTAAGAAGCTCCTGGCTTTGGTCTCACAACCTTTGCAGTGGATGTCAATTTTTGCTGTCCTATGGCGGATTTGGAAATCCCGGAACTGGGTTGTGTTTGAAGGTAAACAGTTTAGTCTCCCGGCTCTTCTACGTCAATTTTCCCAACAGGTTGAGGAATGGGCGCGTCTCCCAGTGGAGGAAGCTTCTCTGCCCCGGGTAGTAGGGGATCATGAACCAGGGCTGGCTGGAGTTTTTGAGGTTGTCTGTAGGTGGGATGGGGCCACTAGGAGGAGGTCGCATGCGGCAGGGGGAATGGTCATTTTGACTCCCGAGAACGCTGTCCTCAGGGCTAGTGGGGTCACGTTCCCTATCATGGATGATCCAGCGATTGTGGAGTTGTTAGCACTGCGAGCGGCGATATTTTGGTGTTTGGAGCAAGGTTTTGTTTTGGTTCGATTTGAAGGAGATGCGAAGGTGGTCATTGATAAAATCAATCGAGGGGATTCGCGTGATAGCAGGATGGGTGCTGTTTTGGAGGAAGTGTTGAATCTTTTTGGCAGTAATCCTGGGTTTAGTATTCGGTTCGTAGGTCGGCAGCACAATAGGGTAGCCCATGTAGTGGCTAGGAAAGCCCTTTCCTTGTATCCGACTATGAGTCGTGTTTTTAATTATCAGGCCTGGCTGTTATCCAGGGTGTAACTATCTTTTCTGAGATCAATATAAGATTATCTTTTGTAAAAAAAAAAAAAAAGACCGTCAATTCTTTGTTCCCTTGCATGAAAAGGGTATCGTTCTACAAAATTCCAAAATCCTATTACAAAATTTTCGTGTACTGATCCAACAATATTCTAATGTATCGTGACAGTACTGTTGTACTGGTGTTGTATGAGAAGGTCTTATCTAAATCAACTCGAAATCATTTACGCTAGCTAGGAACTCTTTGTTCCGGTTCAAATAGATAGTAATTAATAAATTAGTGAAATAAGAACTCAAAACATCGAGATCTCTCTGTTCTACTCTAGAATGGTAGCTCGAAATAGCAATACAATCTTAACTGACATAACACAATTTTCATGGTATAACTAATACTAATACCAATACCATTATCACAAACCTTAACATCTCAGGATGAAATGATAACCTCCAAAACTTAATTTTGATTATTTTACAAATTTCATTCTCAATCAGCTTGTTGTGAATTAACAGGTCGATAAAACCGGTGGTTGGACCGGGTCAATTAGCTGATGAATACTCATCAATGATCACTATTAGGGGTGGAAATCGGTACGGTATCGGTATCCCAATACCAAATACCGAAATCGCGAATACCGAATTAGACTCTAAAGTCAATCCCAATCTCAATCCCTAAATAATTTCGGTATCTCAATTCCAATCCCAAAATATTTCGGTATCCCAATCGGTACTTCGATATCCCAATCGGTATTATCGAATACAAAATTAATTACCTTTGCAATTAATAATTAAATATATAAATTAGATTTTATTGTTTAATTTAGGAGGAAAAGACTAAGTAAAGTGTCTTGAATTAGGATATTATTAAGGAGAATGGAGGAGAGGAGACATCTCAAGTTCTTGTCATTGGTAATCGTTAATTTGACGAATTGGAGGTTGAGAGACGACTATTAATAGTTATAGAATGATCTATGTATAATTAAATGACACTATTGGTGGTTTAGGTTCGTGTAGTAGTGAATGAGAGAGTCTAGTTGAGAGGATAAAATACACACTAGCTTATATTTCGGTATTGATCGGTATTTCGGTATATACCGATTTCGATCCCGTAATTCCTAATACCGAATAACAATTGAAATTTAATCTCAATCTCAATCCCAAAAAGTAATACGTGTATTCGGTAATACCAAATATAGACAAATTCGATATGGTATTCGGTATATCCCAAATACTGGTACCAAACTTCAAGCCCTAATCACTACTAATTTGACGGTCCAGATTTCTCAGGACCGGTGACGTCCGGTACTGTAGTCTTATACGGACATCGAGAGACGGAAAGAATAGTGGATAAAGAAACGAAGTATTTGGATTTTGCAGTGGCACGATCGTAAATAGTTCAGAAGCGCACAATCGACCTCTTCTCTCCGCTCCCCGGGAAACCGATCATTTCTCCCATCGGATTCTTTCCTCTCGTTTGCTCCTCTCCCTGCGTTCGCCGCCGGGAAGCCCACTCGAACTCGACTGTAGCAGCAACTTCGCGATCATCGTGATCAGAATTTCGCCGGAACTCACCCCTTCGCTCCCGAAATGGATGCTAGTGCCGGTGGTCAGTATGCACTATCATTTCTTCTCCCGCTCGTTTCTTCACTTTCCAATCGGAAAAATTCACCGCGCTGCGGTTATGGCGGTTACTTTAGCTGTAGGGAGAAATTAGCTTAGTTGCTGTTTGTTTCCTGGGAAAATGAAATTAGCTATTCGGCTGGTAGACGTAGTGAGAGCTTTGGCATGCTGTGCAACAAATTGTGTTAGTTTTGCTCCGGGCTAATTGTCTCGCTCTGAATCTCCCTTTGCGGTACCTTATACTTGATGGCTTTTTCTGTATCTGCTTCTTTTGAATTGGTGAATGCTTTCATCTTCAGTTGATTCACTGAAAAATTATTTGAAGTTCGATAAAAATGGTGCCCTATTGCTGAAATTTCCCTTGCGTGATTGTCAATTTCATGGACTTGCGAATCGATCAGTTTGCTATTCGTTGGGGGTAATCAATCATGTTTTAGCTGCTGAATTTGTACTATGCTTGAGAAATTGGCTTTCATGAAGACTTATGTGCTGTATTGAACATTGACTTCTCAGGAGGGAGTCCGCAGGACATGGTTGTCCCACCAGTTGAAGGCGTTGCTGGTGGAGGGACCGCATATGGATGGATGGAGGGTGGTGTGGAAGCTTCAACTTCACTCAGAGGATTAATAGACCCTTTAGTGGTTCCAACATCAGATTTAGTTCATACCTGGTGCATGCCAAGCACTGCAAACGTTGGACCTCAAGACATGCCCAGACGTTTGGAGCCAGTAAGTGTCACGAGCAACGTGGAACTTGTTCTGGTTTTGCATTTTCATGCTTGTCAGCTTTTGTTGACTGTAGCTCATTATTATCCTAGCGGGAGATTGTCGTCTATATGCAATTAGCAGCTTCACTTGATATAGGGCTGTGGCTTTGGGAGAATGCACTTTTGTACGAGCAACAATAGCTAATGCAATCGAATTTGTTATCTTCTTACATGCACATTTATCTATAGTCACTGGCTGACTGGAATGACAGTAGTAATTTCCTTAATGGTGTGTGCCAAGTCTACACTGTATATCAGTCTCTTTCACTTTTGTGTCTGCAAAATGCATATTCGTGAGAATGTAGGTCTTCTTAGTACGAAAATCAAAGGAAAAGAGTTTTTTATGCAGAAAGTTTCCTTATGTTACTGTAGATCAATTTTAAAGCTTGGAATTGGTTGTTTCTTTGTGCTTTGTCTCTCCACTGACAAAAGAAGCCTTCCGTTGCAAGATGAACCTGCTGGCAGCTAGAAATGAGAGGGAAAGTTTCCAAGTCGCTCTACGTCCCAAAGTGTCATGGAGTAGTTTGGGCAATGCGGGCGTTGTCCAGGTTCAGTGCACAGACTTATCATCAGCTTCTGGTGCTCGGTGAGCTTTCAGAAGCTATGCTGTTAAACCTTATGGCTTGATTTTGTATTGTTAATATCTCTTACATTATTTGGGGTCAGGTTGGTTGTCGGACAATCGATTACAATGCGGAAAGTGGTTACTGTGTTAGGTGTTCCAGATGCTCTTGTGCCGCTAGATCATCCTACCAGCCAGATAAGCTTAGTTCCTGGGTAATGCCTTTATCATCTATGTTGCCTATTAATTGTTGGAGTGTTTATGAACCTAAATTATTCTATTACTGATCTATCTTTTCTGTTTATTCCTCTTCCTACAGGGAAACATCAGCGGTTTGGATTTCCATAAATGTTCCCGCTGAACAGCCAACTGGTCAGTATGAAGGGGAGGTCATTGTCACAGCCACGAAAAATGAGGCGACGTAAGAACCTTTTCTCTTGCTATTTCTGATTTAGCTTATATTTGCAGTTGATGCCAATTGCTACCAGGACTTATGGGTGGTCTAGTTCAATTCAATAATTCTGTTTGTGTCTAGGTAGTAAAACTGAACATAAGTTGACTAATATATATAATAGATTGTTACAGGTCTCCGTCACAAAGCATGAGTAGAGCTGAAAAGCATCAACTGTATACGGAACTTAGAGACTGTCTTGACACTGTGGAGCCCATTGATGGAAAACCACTGGAGGAAGTGGTAAATAATTTATCATTTATTATGCAATTGTTGTTTAACCCTGAAGTGTCGCTAGTTATTCTTATTGCTATTCTTTTTTAGGTAGAAAGAGTGAAATCTGCGACCACTTCTCTAAGAAGAGTTCTTCTATCTCCATCATTTTCTGAGTTCTTTTCAGATAATGGATCAGTTGACATTATGGATGAAGATGCTGTTTCAAACCTCTCCATCCGTGTGAAGCTTAACTTGACTGTCTGGGATTTTGTAATTCCAGCGACCCCTTCCCTTCCAGCAGTATTTGGTGTATCCTTCTCTTGTTCGTAGGTTGTGCTTAATTTTACCTTCAGAAGGTTACCTATGTTTTCTGTGAGCATTGCTTTTGTATTTCTTAGTCATAGAATTCTATACCATGGTGCATTTCATTAGCCTGTACAAGTTGTTACAGGAGTAAGTTGGGATATGATGATCATTTTTTATCAGGGCCATCGATAATTACTTGAAACAGGAGAGTAGAAACTTTTTCTTTGTTGCTGACTCTGGTGAACATATTTGAAATAGAAAGATAGCTCATCCCATGCCTGGTGAACTGTATTTCCTGTTTTTCGTTTAGCTTTCACATCTTTAACCTTTGTAAACTAAGTAAACCTATGAGCTACAGTATTCAAATATAGCCATTTGACAGTGATAGTTGACTTTCACCACTCATTTACTTCTCTTGTGAGCATTACATGCTGATAAAAAGGTGTATTTACTTTTGAGGCCTCTCGTGTTATATAATGGTGAAATGGCTAAACCAAAGAGAACTCCATTGGTGAAATGCCAAAATATTTTTTGTCCTTGACTGAACTTTAGATATCTGATACTGTCATTGAGGACCGTTTTGGTGTCGAGCATGGAAGTAAAGAATGGTTTGAGGCACTGGATCGTCACTTTGAGTGGCTTCTTCAATTCAGGATCAGCCCATATTTCTGCCGATGGGGAGAAAGCATGCGTGTCTTGGCATATACCTGTCCCTGGCCAGGTAACTAATTAAACAATATGATCTCTGATAAAATCTTACATTCCTGAAGAAGAAGAAGAAGAAAAAAAAAAAGAAATACATTTTTACACCATTGTGGTTGCTAAATTCTCTCCTGGATTGCATGCAGCTGATCATCCTAAATCAGATGAGTATTTATCTGATCCAAGATTAGCAGCTTATGCTGTGCCATATAGTCAAGCGGTCTCCAGGTATACATTTGTTTCATGCTCGCTTCTGTGAAATATATTAGCATGTGCTAATTAAGTTCCGGTTGTTTTTTCTTTTTGGGCAACAACAGTAATCATGTTGCCAAGGATTACTTGCAGAAAGAAGTAGAGGTCTTGAGGACAAAATCTCACTGGAAAAAGGCCTACTTTTATTTGTGGGATGAGGTAGGAGTTGGTGATATGTCTATTTCAGTTTGACTCTCTTGTTCCAATGTTCTTCCAATCATGTGATGCTATGCTTTGTGGCAGCCACTGAACATGGAACAATACAATTCAGTCCGGAATTTGGCCAGTGAGGTTCATACTTATGCTCCTGATGCTCGTATCTTGACGACTTATTATTGTGGTATGAACCAGACCCTTCACTGTGATTGATATGCATCATGAAATGATTGTTTAGAATTTTCTTCGAAACTCTACTTAATGTATGTTCCAGCTGCTAATTGTCCACAGTAAATTGTTAGAGGAGCAGATTTTATTTCTGCTAGATTCGTCAATTGCTGAATCCCCTAGGATTATTTTTTCTAGCATACCTTAAACTCTCTGTTTGTTGTAACTCAGTCCTACTTTCTCATGGATGGCTTATTATCAGCTGATCATCATGGTATCTTCTTATTTTCTCCTGTGACATATAGGACCAAATGATGCACCGCTTGCACCTACCCCTTTCGAGGCTTTTGTGAAAGTTCCAAAGTTCCTCCGTCCTCACACTCAAATTTACTGCACGAGGTATTGCTGAAAAATTGCTTCTTTACACATTATCTCTCATTTTAAAGTGAGCATACTTCCGAGTCCTATGCCATCTTAAGAGACTCCTTGTTTGCTGGGGACCGGTTAGTACAAGGATCATTTCCTATAAATTATTTCTGATTCAGACATGTGCCTCTTCTAAATGTTCTTTAAATTCTTTTCCAGTGAGTGGGTTCTTGGCAATCGAGAGGATCTTGTCAAGGATATTATCTCCGAGTTGCAGCCAGAGAACGGTGAGGTAATGATCAATTTAGAGTCTCACACCTTCCCCTCATGATTCCATCACAAGCTCAACTTCTCTGTGTTTGGGACTACTTTCTGTTTGTGAAATGACTAATGGGTGGCGAGGTTTTGAAGTGAAATGGATCCAGTTTTTAGAACTAGTTCTTTAGGGTAGAAGTTGCTCATTGGATCAACTGGAGGAATGTGCCATCCAATTGCATCAAAAGGCGGCATATTGTGTTCATTGCCCTGTTGTAACCAAGCACTAGCTCCATTTCCTTATATTGCAGGAATGGTGGACGTACGTCTGCATGGGGCCTTCTGACCCTCATCCGAACTGGCACCTCGGAATGCGAGGCACCCAGCACCGCGCTGTGATGTGGCGCGTATGGAAAGAAGGGGGGACAGGGTTCCTCTACTGGGGCGCCAACTGCTACGAAAAGGCTTCCACTCCTAGTGCCGAGGTACTGATCCCCCCTCCTCCATGCCTCCTTTTCTCTAGCTCCTGTTACCACCCCAAACGAAAACTGATCTGTTCATATTCAAACAGATACGATTCAGGCGTGGCTTGCCACCGGGCGACGGAGTCCTCTACTACCCGGGAGAGGTGTTCTCCTCTTCCAACGAGCCCGTCGCTTCACTTCGACTCGAACGAATTCTCAGCGGCCTGCAGGTATCCGACAAATTCGTAACACCAGTCCTTTCCCTTCTCCAATTTGTTTACCCAATGTCAACTACTGAACACTTTTCCTCGTCCCATTACCAGGACATCGAGTACCTTAAACTGTACGCTTCGCGATTCGGACGAGACGAAGGGCTTGCCCTTCTGGAGAAGACAGGAATGTATCTCGGCCCGGAGAGGTACACCGCAGAGCATATGCCTATCGACATGATGCGCGGCGAGATCTACAACACGTGTCGCCCGTGAACGAAATACGTCGTACGTTCGTACATATACTACATGCATGCATACATACATACGTATGTCACACATCTTTTTTCTCTGTGTTGTTTTTCTTCCCCCCTCAAAGGTTCTCTTCCCATTTCTGCATATACAGAAAGAAAAGTCGTTGTAGTATGAATCCGAATTAGCTGTTGTTCGGCCGAGCATTGCAGTCGCTGTTTTTGCACTAGCATTGTCGTTTTATAGCTTGCGTTTCGCTTTCCTTCTTGTCAGCTTTTTTCAGCATGTTGAAATGGTGGAATCTATCGTTCTTTGGACAGAAAAAACTAAAATAGTCAAATACCTATGGCTGACTACTATACGTATTTTTTAAATTTCTTTGAACTGATTTTTTTTTTTATGCAAGAAAGAGAGTCGTTTTGAGTATTCACTATCACTAGCTAGGAGTTCTCTACTATTGTGCTCTCCAAAACATGTCACCAATCTCGAAAGCTTTTCCCGCATTTTCCTAATCGAGTTTCTAATGCCTTGTTCACTTGCCATTTCGTTTTCTAATTTTCGTTGCCACCACAGAATTAGTGAATCAATCATTTATTCAGTTTGACAAAATCTTTTTTTAGTCCCTATCAAGTGGGTTGCATAATTCTTTGTGCTGAGATAAGAAGTCGATAATTGAGAAGAGGATGGGAGAGAGTGGCCAAAAGGTTGCCTTGTGCCTATTCTCTCAAGTCTCCAACACTATAAAATACATATGGATTAGATTAGATAGCAATTGACTCGTGCACTCAACAAGCACTACTATGCTTTGCCGTAAAATAGGGTTCATTTCATCCTATTGATACTCTCTTCTCTCTCTCTCTCTCTGTCTCTCTACAACTTTGTGTTGCATTATTGTAACCTCAAATACCATCTACTGGCAGTGTGGAAATAATGGTGACAATGGACGTCCCTCCTAAATAGTAATTATGGCTGTTTTAGCTGTTAACAGCATAAAATCCCATGTATGGATGTATCCATACAAAGAAAGGGGTTTCAATTTATTAGTAGGACTCGAAGATAGATTATATGTCGTTGACTGGAAGTCATGAGAATATCGTTATATTGTCGATTTCTCGTTCTGTTTTAACACACTGCTAGACATGAAGTTCTGTACACTGTTTAGCAGGAGAAGTGAGATAAATGTAAGTGGAACAGAAAATGGGATGGGTACTCGTCAAGATTCATCAAAAGCTGCTTGCTTTTACCGGGAATCAGGAATAAGGGCAAAAAGCAAGAACAATACAACAAAAGACAACAAACCAAAACGAATGGCCTCAACTCATAAGGCCAAAAGAAAGGCCAAATTTATCAAATGGCTGATGATTACTGGAGTACTACCCATCAATCAATTCTTCTTTCATTCTTTCTTTTTTTTTCACTTTCAAAGCTTTATTGGTTTGACATTATTGGTTGTATATACCATTCTTGCCTTTTAACCAAACATATAATATATGCATGATGAATAATGGCCCAATTCTTCCCGATATCTCAACCTGCAGCATCTTTCTCCATCTGACATTCCTCTCATCTGCCCTCATTCCTTCTTTGCTCTTGTTGGGTGATTGTGTTTTTGTTGTTGTTAGCTAGGGCTAGCAGTCCTCAATGCTCAACTGCCTCAAAACCCAAAAATCTTTTTGGGTTTTCTTTCTTCGTCATTTTCAACTTCATGTTTTATTTTCTTTTTGAGCAAGATATCCCCTTCCAGGAGGGGCACTTTCAACTTCATGTTGAAAACTGGAACAAGAAAAGCATTTCAATGTTCTTTGTACTCTTAAATTACATAACTATTTGGGTTGTTATTATACCCATTGCCGTACCCACCAAGTTACAATAAACAAGAACCTTTTAAAATTACAAATATGTAAATCCAATTTCGCTAACGAATATGATATACTAGAAATTTTCCATCTGTGATTCATTTAGTTTAATAACTAGGTGACATTAACAACTATTCGTTTTTTTACGGTACCAATAACTATCCATTTAGTACTTCCTTAGTGGGAAAAATAATTAAAATATCGGGAATATCATGGCATCACCTATTTGGGTTGTTATACCCATTGCATCTATCTCTTATAAGGTTACAACGAATGTGTAATTTAATGAAATTGTGATGAGAGTGGTGCCACTAAACCTAACTATTGCAATTCTTCATGTAATTAAATGTCAATTGTCAACATCACACCCCTGGGTGTGGTGAGATAAATAGAAAGGAAGAAAACACCAGAGGATCTTGCTATATATAGTTAAATATCTATACATCAAAACTATAGTTGTATTAACTTCGCCTTTCGGCCATTCTTTCCCCTCATCTTGTTTTATGTCAATTCATTTTCCCCTTCTCGACACAAACAGCCTCCAAGGTGGTCCGATCTATCTCGTCGATCAGATCCAATTTTGAGACAGCCAAAAAATCATGATTCATTTGGTATTTGAACCAGATCAAATTGGATTGAATATAATGCAGTAATGTAGTAATTGGACCCAATTACCACATAATGCAGTAATTAGGTTAAAAACCCACGTTTGAGAGAGCAAAAAGGGTATGGGAATTGGACCATGGAAATTGGCTTCAATTACCACATTCATGGTAATTGAGAATACTACACCTCCCCCTAGTAATTTGACATTACCACGTTTTCTCACTTCTTTTTCCAAATTCCACACTATCAATTCCCACAAAACTAAACCCTATCCAAACGTGAATTTTTTTCAATTTCCACAAGTCAATTCCTTGGTTTTGTAAAACATGGAAATTCAGACAAATTCCTACGTTTTCAAATTTCCACATCCAAACGACCCCATATGTGGTAATTGGGTCCAATTACTGTATTACATTTCCACATCCAAACGACCCATAATGATAATTCGATCTTTGGTTCTGAAATATTTTTTTTAATTGAGCGGCAGTTCTTATGGTTTGATCTAATCTGGATCGAAATATTGCACACTAAAAATGATTTTGAAACTAATATATATTAGTACTACATAATTTGATTCGAATAGCAATATAAATGTTATATCTAACCTCCTTCCAACTATTTCTAGTGTTTATCTATTAAAATGACTATCAAATGTACACTTCTTATCATGGTTTTGGCCAGAATGATGGAATAATTATAGTCGTTGAAAGATAAGCTCCAAACTCATCACCAATTATTACTCTTTATGTGGTCGACAACAAAGCATAATTGATCATCTTGCCAACTACTTCATATTTAATTGGTACTCAGACTAATACTAATTTTTTCGTAGTTAAAAACATTTTGTTCGGCTTATTTTAATAATATTTATCACACTCTTATCAAGAACTAGTTGTTCACGATAACTTGAATTGTTGAGAGATGTTTAATGATGGATCTTATATCATTATTAACACGCTCCTCAAATGAAAGCAAACTCATACTAACATGAAGTTTGCACAAGTCTAAATACCATGTAATTAGCATTATATTGGGAGTTACATTATTGGAATTTAAACACAAGACCCCTCGGTCATTGAAGGCGTTGATAACATTTTTTTTATAGAACGTTGATAACATATTATGAACTAGTATGTTCCAATTACTCTAGTTGTTGATAAATGTTCAATTATGAATATTATAAATCTAATAACAATCTTCTAATTTTTGTTTGTATGATACTCTTACGGAGTTACGGTATGTCTATGGTGACTTGACTGGATTCCAAGTCATCGTGATTTGAATAAAATGGTCGACCACTTTCATATGACACACTTACGACGAAACTTCACCAAAGGAAAACAACAATCGATCGCTTATTTCCACAGGTCTTCTGGATTCAAGAAAAAAATACATAAGTCAACGGGATCAATTGGCTTTGCATTATGACATATTGGCATTGACTAGATGACCATATGATTAATCGTTCTTTGAAGAAGTCAACCTCTTGGTTTGTAGGTCGGCCGAATTGAAGATGAGATGAACACACCAACATGGATTTACTAGTAGGTCTGTTTTAGAGGAAGAAGAGAAGAGGAATATAAAGGAGGAGTCTAGCTTGCTAAAGCGTTTTGAGACCGAGAGGAAATTGGGAGAAATTCATAAATTTTGGATAGGTCTGAAGTTTGAACTGATTTATCTCGATATAATAAGATCTAGTCGACCATTTTTCAAAAGCGATCGGTCATTTCTCTAAATCAAGGTGACTTGCAAGTCACCATAGCAAATTCCTACACTCTAATGTAATGCTTTCAAATTTGAGGCGTGAATTAAGCTCGAGCTGAATTTGACTGGACGCTCGGACTAATAGAATCATCAGTCAATTGTAGTAGTGGATCTATTCGTCAGTTCAGATGGCCAGCAGCGAACCACATGATTGTTAGAGTTGCATGTAAAAAGATCAGAACTCTTTAAGCATAAAGTGTGGTTCATTGGTTCAACATTTTAACCACAATATAATAAACTAGAAAGATCATATTGGTAGAATGAATGGTGAAATCCCAACTTCGTTTTGATGACACTTTTTAAATCTTGCTTTCTCATTCAACCGTGTACTTAGCTTGCTATATGAACGATTCTATAAATAATATGTCAATGATTTTATAATAATTATCCACTATATCGCGAACTATTAATTTCTTCTATTTAACGCCTAATTTGAGTATGAGTACTGAGTAGTCAGCATTGCTTAGTTCACCATGAATTATTTAAAATTTCGGAAAGGGAACCCACATTATTTGTCGAGACCAAATCAGTTTGCACTTCTTTAATCAGACTTAAATTTCAAAAATTAAATTATTAGTGACACTTCACCACCAAAAAATTTAGTGATACGTAATCAACTTAAATTCAAAGTACAACTACAGAAAGAATGCTATTTTATGTCAAACTATAAAGTAGAGTTCAAAGAATTTGTCAAAAGGGCCACAATTAGTTGTTGACTTGGATTACTTAAAATCTAATTAGGACGGCAAATCTAGGATTGATTTAATAGTATTATCGTTGGTTTTCAACTAGAGAATTTGAAGTTAGAATTACAAAATGAATTTTCACTTATTTCGCAAAATTCTTGTGTGAATGACATATGGAGCTAATATAAAATCTTGCAACCAAAACTATTTACAACATGGAAAGTTGAAGAGTTTGACATATTTGCTAAAAATATTTATTTGATTTGAATTTATATGAAATCATTAAGGTTAAGACTTTGATTTAGACACAAACACACATCACAATTCACAAGTGAGAAGCAATGTCCCAAAATACAAAAATAAAAAATAAACAAAAGAAAACCAAACAATTTGTCACAATGTCATCATTGTCCATCTTGAAAAGAAAATTTCAGTATAGGTCCTTTTGCTTGATATTTGTTATTATTTCAAATTATTCATAATTTGCAATATGAAAACATCTGAATTATAAAATAAAAAAAATTTGATTTCGTGGGCTCTGTCCATAGGAATTACAATTTGAACTCTTCGATGGGTTACCCGACCTGACTGTTGATGGGAGAGTATTACCCGTTCAGCAGTAGAGTGGGACGAGATATGAGTGTATACTTCTGACACGCCCTGTCACGTCCCGTTCCGTTCTTGATCCATTCTATTTCAATTTCTTACAATATTTATTTATATTTATCCCATTTTGAATTTTATTCAACTAGTTAGAATTAGACTTAATTACCCATTCTTTTATCACTAGTTTTCATACTTAAAGCGTTTCCCCTTCGTTTTATCATAAAAACTAATATTTTACGTGTAATATCTTGTAATAACATATCAGAGTAGATCGACTCGTCCCGCCGCGCCGCGCACCCACATAAATATAAAATATTACCCCCCTCAACCCACAATTGATGAAAAAGAGTATGAATATTAAGTTATCCGCACAATCTCCATAAGCAACACATTTTTTTTTTTTTTTCTTCTGATTGTGGATTCAAACCATTTTCCACCATATGGCTAGTGTGGAGTGTGGACCTGATAGCTTCCCAAGCTGGCTACAACAACCGTACTAATATCGTGTCGTCCAATCACAACCCTGCTGCCCCACGGGAGCCACCGTGGAGCTCACCCGCATGTGAGCCTGCCCATCTCTCTCTCTCTTATTCCTGTTAGGCAGAACGAGTACGTGCCTGCAGTAGGCTGTAAGCCGAAGAAAACTTTGAGGACCACCTGTCAAGCGTTTAGACCACCAGCAGGTCCAAGGTCTGAAACGTGGAAACTAGATTATTACCGGAATACCCCTGGGGCAGAAGCGATTTCACGCAGTGATGCCATTGTGATTTTTGTCCTTCTTTTCATATTTACTCTTTCCTTGCGCGCGAAGGCAGAGGCAAAAGAAGGAAAGACCGAGTGAGCTTGTCGTTTTGATCGGTGACAGTGGCAGTTCCGTTATTAGATTAAAATATTTGGGTAGAAGACGAAGCTGCGGGATTCTGTTTCCTTTTGGCTTTGGCTTCATCCTCTTACACGTGTTGCTCGTGCCGGAAATTCCTCCGCCTCCATATTCTGATTAGGCAGCCTGCTTCTTTGGCTCCTTCCTTTGCTTAGTTGGGGTTTTAGTTTTTAGTTTTTTTTTTGGGTAAATAATAATACACAAAGTTAATATAATTGACGAAGCAGAATATTGCAGGTGAGCCAACATAGACATAATTAATTTGCTAACTAACAAAAATGATCATATATAGTCATACCTCCTGAGTCCTGACGCTGTTAGCCTGTTACAGTGAGAGAGTCAAATCTCAATTAACTGAACGAAAAAAAAAATTATCCGCCTTCCCGCAATAATCCAGCGTGGCAAGGGACGATTTGGTCTTTTCAATGTTCAAAGTTTGGAAAAAAGAAAATGAAGATGGAATATGATTTTCCCCGCAAAACGACAAGCACCGCCTAGTCTGATTGCCCCCTACAAATGTCGGGATGCAACGTCCTGCGCCACGTGGGCGGTCTGGTTTTAAATAAATATTTTCAATGCGGCTAAATTACATGTTTGGTCACTCAAATTACATGAATCTTTCACGTTTGCCACCCAAATTACTTTTCTTTCTTATTGGCCACTAACTTTACGAATCGTTTCACCGTTAGTCACCGACCGTTAGTTTTCGTCATACTCTGTTAACGGCGTCATATTTTTGATGACGTTGCAAACGAAATGCTGGCTAGTCGGTCTTCCTCCTCCTCCTCTCTGCTTCTCATTCTCCTTCCCCCTGTTTGCTTCTTCTCGACATATTCTCTGTCTCTCTCTTCTATCAAACTCAGACAGCACAAGAACCCCAAATTGCACTCTCCTCCTCCCTCGATCTCAATTTGCCGCTGCTCTGCTCTCGTCGGCATAGAGAGAACGGACGGTAAATGGTCTATTCCTTCTCAATGCTTATTGTCTACTGACTTTCAGGGTTTTCGTTTGATTCCGAGTTTAAGGAGTTTAGATTTTGATTTTTAGGGTTGGTTTTGGAAGATTCCCCTAGATCTGGAAGAAGAAACTGGGGACGACGACACTAGTGGCGGCCGATAATGACGGCGTGGATTCCCGGTGGAGGCTGTAACGACGATCAGGAGAGGAGGTTGTAGTGACTGGTCTTCGCGAGACGGTAGCGGCTCCAACTCTTTGTTGTAAATAATTCATGGATATCTCCCCCAGACAATCGAGCATCTGGTCGTGTTCTCTGATAGAACTTCCAGCGGGGAGAGCCGAGCCATAGCTAGCGACGGGGAGACGACGTCAATTGGAAGCAGGAGTGGGGCCGGAGGTTTCTCATCTCAGATGGGGGTGGTGGTACATGACCACGCTGAGGGAGCTGGACATTGTGACGAATGGTCGATGCATGGCCCGATTGCGATTCAGAGTCGAGGAGACGGTGTCGTCGGGGTCTACGACTCCTTGCCGATTTACTCGTGCCAGGCGGTTCTCGTCTTGAGCAGCATGAAGAAGTAGAGATCGTTCTTCTTCTCGTCGTCGTCATCTTGATCCATGTTTTGATGGAGAAGAGATGAGAGTAATGAGATGAAACGGCGACGAGCGACGGTGGGAGAAGAAGACGGTGGCGCAGCGAAAATTGGATTCGACGGCGGCTGTAACAGGGACCTCGCCGACGGGAAGGGGAGATCGATGGCTGAATTTGCATCGGTGGCTGATTGATGGCGAAGGCGATGGAATGGAGACAAGGACGCCGAGGATTTTCTTCCCTGAGTGGCATGGGTGCGGTGGGTTTCCGGGGAGCCATGGTGAGAATGAGGCATTATTGATTTTTTTTTTTATAAATTAACAGGTCATTAGGTTAACGGCCTAGTCAGCATTCCGTTTGTCACGTCATCAAAAATCTGACGGCGTTAATGGAGTCTAAAGGAGACTAACAGCCGGTGACTAACGATGAAACGATTCATAAAGTTAGTGGCCAATAAGAAATAAAAATAATTTGGGTGGCAAACGTGAAAGATTTATGTAATTTGAGTGACCAAACTTGTAATTTAGCCTTTTCAATGCAGAACACACTCAAGCATAGCGGCATAGGTCACACACTTAGCAGTTTAGCACACTAAAAAATACTATTGAATTGAAGATAAATAAAATAAATTCGCAAAATATAATACTTTGCAAAAAATTACAAATTATAAGAGTTTGAAGCAGTTGGTTTTAGGATCTAAAAGTGAATTAAGTAGTGGTTCGCTTAATATTTGGCCCTGACCCAGTGTGGATCGCTCTAGTGTCAAACTACCAGCTATCTAGTTCCTTGATTCTAAAGTGAACTCCTCTAAACTCTTGTATTTGAAAATTATTTTGCAAAGTATTATATATTTATATTGTACGAATTAATTTTATTTCAAAATTTAATATTTGTATTTTCAAATTTTTTTCCCAAACAGGCAACAGCCATCCAGCTCAGCTCAACCATGGTTAAAAATGCATTCACCGCACCACTCTAACCATGGTTAACTCAAGGTCGCCGCTTTTAACTCCCCGAATTTCTTATTAACTTTTCCCCTCCTCTTCCCGAACTCCTTTGTTGTTTTCCTTTCTCTGTCCAAATCTCCAAACTCTCACTTTCTCTCTCTGACCGGCGGATGGATTCTTATCAACAGAAACTCAGCCGCCTTATCTGAACAAGCACGATGAGGCTCCGGTGAGGATGAGTCACCGACTGTCTTTGTCTCTACATACAAACAGAGCATTAACTGAGCTTATTATCATCGTACTCCTCCACTCTTCATTCCTCTTTTTCGTCTTTCTCTCGCCGTTGAAATTCTCACTTATCGGTAAAAAAAACCAACCGCCGGTTGCTCCGATTCCGCTCTCCTGGCGGTTGGTCCTCTAAAATCGCCGGATTTCCCCTCCGACTTTGCTGGCTTAGAAATCAATTGAGCAACTCGATGATTGTTGGTGAATCGATGGCGGAGGTTGAGAACTCCTCTCAAATAACGGTTTCCGGCGAAGCGAACAGCCCGTGCTCGTTAGGCGACCTCGCGTCTCCGCCGCCACCGCCGTCGACGACGAAGAAGAAGCGGAATCTCCCCGGAATGCCAGGTCGGAACCGGAACCCCAAATTGAAAAAATCTCCACTTAAATCAATTCAATTTCTCTTGGTATTAACCACTTCCTCTTTGCAATTTCAGATCCAGAAGCGGAAGTAATCGCGCTGTCGCCCAAGGCATTGATGGCGACGAACCGATTCGTGTGCGAGATCTGCAACAAAGGGTTTCAGCGGGACCAGAACCTGCAGCTCCACCGGCGAGGCCACAACTTGCCGTGGAAGCTGAAGCAGAGAGGGACCAAGGAGCCACGCAAGCGGGTCTACGTCTGCCCCGAACCGACCTGCGTCCACCACGACCCGACCCGAGCCCTCGGCGACCTGACCGGGATCAAAAAACACTTCTCCAGAAAGCACGGCGAGAAGAAATGGAAGTGCGAGCGGTGCTCGAAGAAGTACGCCGTCCAGTCCGACTGGAAAGCTCACATGAAGACCTGCGGGACTCGCGAGTATAAATGCGATTGCGGCACTTTGTTCTCCAGGTATAAAGATTTAATCTATGCCTTAATTCTAAATTAATTCTCCCTCTATCTTCGCTTAATTGTCTGATTAGGTTGTTTAATTTTGGGTTTAGGAGAGACAGCTTTATCACTCACCGGGCGTTCTGCGACGCGCTGGCGGAGGAGACGATAAGAACCACGACGAATGTGCAAACGGTGAAGAACAACCTTCCAGCTAATGGTGATGAGAAGACGGCGGCGGCAGCGGTGTTGGCGGTGAGGGTGGCTTCGCCACCGCCGCCACCACTTACACCGTCGACTACCGTGGTGTCGCCGGGGAACTCTATCCAAAGCTCAGGTATATCCAGCTTAGTTGCCAGTTATGGATAAAAAAACTTTGATTGTTACAAGAGGTTAAGTGATTAAAAGACAAAGGTCTTATTTTGCCATCCCTCTGATTCAGTGGAGACTTGACTTTGTTTTTTTTAATTACTCACTCCCTGCTTCTGCTACCTACTTAACTCTTTTTAGTTTTTATATTCCTCTGTTTTTTTTTTTTGTCTCTTATTGATTGTCTGGTTCTCTTTGGATTTTTCGCTGGGGAATAAGATACATTAATGGCTGAAAATGGTGGTGGGTAGGCTTAGCAAATAGGTCAAAGTCCAACTCGATTGTTACAGACTGTTCCCGCAATGAAAATGGAATTGGGTTCCAGGTCGAACTCGATTTGCTCATTTCTGCTTTTGATCGAAGTGGTAAAATTACTGGATAGTAAATGAGTGGACATTGGAGTGGCCATGGATCTCGAAAAGCTACCTTTCTTGCTCTGCTTTCTGTATTACAATAATGGAGAAAGAAGTGCGATTTGAGGGGAAAGGACGCCATTATTGCTCTCCACATGTTTGCCTTTGTTGCTTTTCCCCGGTACCCTTTTTAGATTGCGTCTCTCTCTCTCTCTCTCTTCAATTTCATCACTTCCTATCTTGTTTCAGAATTAGCAGAGAATCCAGTGATCCTGCCTTCCCCAGCGGCGGCGACGACGACGACCACCGTAGCGTCGGCGGCGTCTGCCAGCACGAGCTCCACGTGCACTACTTCAACCAGCAACGTCTTCGCCAGCATATTCACTACCACGACCACATCGACGGCGGCGGCGGCGGCGGGGAGTTCGTCTTTCACCAATCTGCTCCAGACATTCACTCCGGCGGAATTCCCGGCGACAATGCCGGCGATCATCGAGCCGCCACCGTCGCTTTCTTTGTCCCCGCCGCCGCTCTACTTCGCTTCCCCCTCCGCCGGCGGAGGAGGAGGAGGAGGAGTTCAAGACTACAGCCACCGCTCGGGGCATCACTACGGCCAGGCGACGATGTCGGCCACCGCATTGCTCCAGAAAGCTGCTCAAATGGGGGCCACGACGTCGAATCAGTCGTTCCTCCGGGGGTTGGGCCTGCAAATGTCGGCGCCGGCGCCGGCGCCGGCACCTTTTCATTCCGAGGATAGGAATATTGGCAATCATCATCAGTGGGACTCGAAGCAGGAGTCTGGAAGTGGGCTTCAGCTTGGGCTGAGCCAGTCCTTCGGGCCCACTACGCTGGACCTGCTCGGTCTGGGCCTGGACTCCAGCTCCGCTCTGCTGACCTCTTATAGCAATGGCTTCGACTATGCTGCAGCGGCAGCCGCTGCCAGCTCCGCCGGATCGTACGGCGGCGGCGGAGGAGGAAGGAGCTCGGAGGAGACGTGGGATAATAGTACCGGCGGCGGCGCGGAGAGGAAGGCTAATGGTTCAGCTGCCTCGTTGTAGTTTTTGACCATGTGTATGATCTCTCTCCTCTCAACTTTTGGCCACATGTGTTTTTGTTCGTTTTAGCGACGGCCGGCGAAGTTCTTTTTTGTTTGCGACCAAAAGCTTAGGTCGGCGATGGGTTAAGCTAAAGTAGGGTTTTTGCCGGCTCTCCATATCAAGTATAGGTCAAAGGTGAAATTTTAAGAGATTAGGGTTCTCTTTCTTCCGGTTCATGAAAGTCTCTTTTGTTGTTTGAAACTCTTCTCTTGTTTTGGCCAAGTCTCTTTTGTTGTTTGAAACTCTTCTCTTGTTTTGGCCCTCGTTTTTGTGTAGTTTCTTTTGTTTAAGTCAGGTTATATACTGAAACATAGTATTAGTATGTATATGCACACATTTTGGGCTATAAGAGTATATGAATCTTCACTCTTGTTTACACTCTCTGACAGTTTGTGTTTATTGGGGTCCTTAGATATTTATCAACACTAATACGTGTGTATTTAATATATTTCGAGTTGATTGGAATGCTTAGATTGATGAATTAACATCGACGAGATTAGGAGGTCATAAACTTGGAGGTCATAAACTTGAAGGACCGTACTAAACTATATATATTTTAAGGGGTTTATAGCATAATTTTTTGTCAAGTTGGATCTTAGGACCCCTCTTCTTAACACCTCCCTCTGTCACTACTCTTTGCCTATCAAAGAGTGATCAATCATCTTATCGCACTTGAGCAATCGGTCCAATTTCTTCTGGAAGTGGATCTCAATAACTTAAGTTATTATGATATTTAATCACTTTCTTACCACGATAACGTGTTTGAGAGCCAAAGCTGCCGGGGGGTCAATAGTGCCAGGCGGAACGGTGAAGGACTAGAGCTATAAGGGACCAGAAATTGTCGTGATGGTCAGAGTATCGATGAAGCTAGGCTGCTGGCTTACTGCAGCGGCAGCAGCAGCAGCTTGCATTGAATGCGGTGAGAAGTTGGATGGGAGGCAGCTGAAAGGGCTGCTATGCTGCCTCATATCATATTCATATGCATAGTTCTGGCAATAAAGTCGGATCAAATTCTGAATTTACTCGTCTTCCTCAGCTCCCTGCTTTAATTGCCTGCTAGCCCACCACCTTAAACAAGACGATAGGGACAACCGAAAATGAAAGCTGTTGGTTGGGTCGTATAAGTGTTAGATGCCTCCCTAATGGGTTCAAAAAAAAGGAACATGAATAGCCTATTATGGCATTCGAGTAGTTTTGCCTGTTGAGGGGGAGAATTTGATTGGTTGCTGTGTTGAACAATCTTTTCCTTTCTGCAAACAATAACGAGGGAAAGGTAAGAAAAGGAATCTGCTCAATCAAATTTTGTTGTGCATCTCTGTTGAGTGTATACTGCAGGGAAGGAAATCAAGGAAAAGAGGGAAGGTCTGGACAAAATAAGAAGCTAGCCATTGCCAGCGGCGGATCCAGGACACAGCGTAGCACTGGGCCGCATTTCATTAGAAAATTAGATATCGTAAAAAAATTACAGTTTTTTTTACAATATCAATTGTACACGTCAATCTTTTAAATTTTAATACAGTGAATTCATCAATAATAGAGTTTACATCCACATCAATAGCATACTCTCTTTAAGATAAAATAGTTAACCAATTGGAGAGAAATTTATCGTTCATTTTGTTTCGCAAATGTCAATACAATCGACTAATCAATTCCTATTTTCAACAGCTGCTCAAGTAATTTCTTAAGAGAATAAACCTCATATTTCTTTTAGTCTTTTACGTTTTAGAATTTTAGGTTTCATTGTTTGCTTTTCTTTATATGAGAATTATTGGAGCTAGAATTTTCAAGCTAAATTTAGAGTTGTCATTTGAATATGTTCATCTTACCCATTTTCCTAATTACACACAATTTTATTATAAAATAACACTGGGCCAAATGGTTAAATCGATAAACTCATTAGAGCTATACTAGTTCCGGATCCAAAGGAGGGCTGGGCCGGGGCCCGGGGTGGCCACCCCCTGGATCCGCCACTGGCCATTGCAGACTCCGAGAAAGTATAATAGGCAGAAGAGGAGATGATGAGAAGAACACATAAACTAGTCACGAAAACCAACTCACGGGATTGAAGTTTGCACAGACACATCATATCTTGTGCGTTAATTATATATGTTAATTAATATTGGGGGTCGTGGAGATTCGAGCACACGACCAAACCAAATCAGATTTGATATTATGTCATAAACCGGTTGATTCTAATAACTCGAGTTGTTAGGAGAATGTTATGTCGGATCTTTACCATACTCTTACAGGTAGCGGGTAGAGGCTTTCTATTGCGGTTAGCTTGTGAGGAAGAAAGCTTGTTTGATTTCTGTTCTCTAAAATTCTCTAGGGGTTTGAAGTCCATCCTAAAAAAATTCAACTAGTGGTTGGCTTGAGAAATAATTTCAAATCCTAGGTGTAAAAGAGTGGACACATTTGAGTCAAGACGCGAAACGTCCTCAAATTAATAAAAATCCCGTGTATTTACATACTCATCTTGATTTATCCGTCGATCTTGGTTGAGTTATGGGATTGCAGGTTGGGCTGCAAATGAGTTGAATTGAGCTAGACTTAGTTTACTAAAATCTTGACTCATGCATGTTTGATACATTCATTTTGTATGTCATCTATGATTCACTTGATTGATCTCTTGATGAAAAAATAATAACATTCAAAATTGTATCATTAACTAATCCCATGTTATGCTATGTTGGTATCACATAATTTATTTCATAAATTCTAACTAGTACAAATCATGTTATTTCATAATATCGAAGCAATTTATGATACATAATTTCTTTTTAAATTATTTTAAAATACATTTTTGCTCACATACTATATAATGTCTTAGACATCATATAGAGTGCAATATATAATTTAACAATCCTATAAATTAGCAAACTCCAATTCATAAGATTGGATGAATTGCAAGCTCACTCAGCTTTCTAAACAACAACGCTTCTTCGACACTCGATAGCACAGTACATGATTGGATACTGAAATACATACGTTACCAGTAGGGATGCAAATGAGTCAAGCCGCTCGCGAGCAATTCGGCGTTCGAATAGAAAAAAACTCGTTTGACACTCTACTTGTTATTTAACAAGCTGGCTCACGAGCCGACTCGTTAGTAAACGAGCCAAGTTTGAGCTAGGCCAGCTCAGCTTGATAAGCTCGCGGGCTGGCTTGTTTAGAGCTTGTGGAATGATTAATTACTCTTATGAACATGAAAATTACCTTGTTAATACGGATGTTTATGGAAGTTAGATGTTATTTATGGTTTTTACAGTTCTTTTTATCATTTAAATTCTTATGTGTACACATTTTTCAACAAGAATGATTTCAAATCGAGCTTATCTTGAGCCGAGCTTGTACTTAGCTTGACAAGTTGTGTTAATGACATTTACCGAGCTCTACCAAGTCGAGCTCGAGCCGGATTATCAAAATTCGAGCTCGAGCCGAGCTCGAACTGCAAAATTTATAAACGAGCTGAGCTTAAACTAAGCAAAAACTCGACTCAACTCGGTTCGTTTACAGCTCTATTACCAGCATCATGGCCTGCAATTTCGGATCACCTGTTGGTCTCTTTGACGGGAAAGAACAACCGAGTCTTCACAGACAAGAACGAAGCCTTTCTTCAGTGGCATGGGTTAATGTAGCGAGGAATGCCATGGAAAAAGACGGCCTTGTCCATACGCCTAGTCTGTCAATCAGAATGGAGGTGGAGATCTCATGGAAACTGCCCCCTCCCGAGTGAATAACTCTCAATTCCGACGATTCCGTTCTTTCTTTATCAGGTCAGGCAGCTGCAGGTGACCTTATTAGATATCATACAAGATGTTGCACTGCATCATTAGCTTTAAACATGGGGATATGTTCCATCACCCAAGCTGAATTGAGAGGCGTTGTAGAAGGTCTTCATTTGGTATGAGATAAGGGCTCTCAACGAGTACGAGGGGAGCTTGACTCCAAGTGTGTCGTGCAACTTATGCATAATAGAGACCAATCCGATCATCAACATGCATCCATTATTGACCGTTTCCAGGCTCTCCTTAGTCGCCAGTGAGAAGTCTCTATATCCCATATCTATAGAGAAGGGAACAAGTGTACTGACTTCTTCGCAAGTCAGGTTCACTCCCTGCTTTGGGTTTTCATGTATTTTCTGTTTCTAATATGAACTTACATCATCTCCATCTGTATGACTGTCAAGGACTCTCCGAGTCGCATATATACAAAACAAAGGAAAATGGTTCGAGGAGAAAATATGAAATAAAGAAGGCAAAATATCGAAAAGGGAGAGACAATATTAATCATTACACATCGACAACATAAGTAGTTTTTTTATTTAATAGCCATGAGATACAATACTTTAACCTAATCCGGCACCACTTACACTTCTCTGACCTTATTCAAACACTAATGAAAGTATTATATAACTATGAACTAGTTCCTACATCCATTATTGTATCTCCTGCGGTACTACCCCATGGTATTACGTATACATCTTGGTGCTCTTGGAAAACGTGGACGTAAATCCCATCATCTTTAACATGCCAATATATATTGTTTTTGTGAATCCAATAGTAGAACTTGAAATTCTGCGCGTACACAACAAATGTCAGTGGCGGAGGGAGCCTTTGAGGAGAGGGGTCCTAGGACCCCACTTAGCAAAAATTTGGGTGTCAAAATCCTTTAAATATATGCGTTTAGTATGATTCTTGAAAGATAGGACCCCGTACTTTCGCTGATATTAACTCACGTAAAGACCCCAATCAATTCAAAAATTTTAAGGATCCCGGTCCATTCAAAATCTGGCTACGCCACTGCAAATGTGGCATGGTGATTAGTGTCATCGGCGTACACCTCGCACCTCCACCTCGTCGGCCGGAATGCGTTGAGCTTGAACCGCCATGTGAACTCCTTCCCAACACCCAAATCGACGTGCCCTCTGTCGTCGTTTCTCGAGAAACAATGGACGTGCAAGACCGTATCATCGTCGGCGGGGAAGTCGTTGACGATGTGGACGTGCTGGTACGGCCAAAGGCTGAACGCCGATGAGGTTCCGGCGAGTAGTGTTGCAACCGTCGCAAGTAGGACTTGAAGAAGAAGCAGCGGTGACCTAGTGATGGTTGTGACCATGGTTGGCAATTTCTTGTTTGTTTTTTCGTTCGTATTATGGGTTTGTGGTGCTTTCCACTAAGATGGAAGTGTTTATATAGGCATGGGGCACTTTAATGGGACTTAGTTAAAAATTTATATCTTGATAAGGTTGTATTAATTAAATAAAATTGGAAAGTTAATTTTAACCATGATGATAACAATGGTGGTTTAGTAATTGTGGGGATACTATTGCTATTGCTAGGAAAACCTTTTTAGGAAAAACAATCCTTGGATAATAATGTTTGGGGATGGCAACAGGTAGGGTTGGGACAGTTAGTGTATATTCTTTATCCTACTTAATGTAGTTAGGGTTTTATCGATACTATATTCGTATAAGGATCAGGTAAAAAATTGAAATTATGTCCATATCACGGTTGCGGATATTTTTGTCATCTTTAATAGTGTTCGCACCAATCCCTTTTTTTTTCTTTATAGTTTATATCTTAAATCATATGATCAAGTATGCAAAGAGAAAGATAAAGTTTCAATTTGAAATAAAAATGAAGAAAAACATGAAAATCTGAGTGATAATGCATGGAATACCGATTCAAGGGTTAAATGTATCGAATGTCACTTAAGTATAAGTTATGTTGCACATTCTGTTTTGATTTGCAATCAAATATAATTCGATCTATCTTGAACTATAACTCTTTAAACCATCTCCAACAAGGGAGTTCCAAAGTGCAATAATGCTAGATGAATTTGATAATTTGGCTTCGCCAAATGTGAATTTTGCTCCAATAATAAGTGTTAAAATGTCAAAGTGCCAAATTTTCATTTTTGTGATAATGTAGTTTAGCATAGATTTTATCATTTTAATTATATATATTTTTTATTTTTTATATAGATAGCAATAATTAATTACGACGAACATTTTATGTAACTTTTTTAAAATTTTGATATAATTTTTTTGTCGTTAAATATGTCGACATCAATAATGAAAACATAATAACGAATTCAGTCCATCGTATACTTTTGAATATAAGTTAGATAAATATCAATCAACAAAGATAATTAAACCAAAATTAATAACACCTTACCATTATTCAAATTAATGACATCTTAGCAGAGGGTGACTTGGACTTTCATCGTTTTGAGTTGTTTAACCAGACTCTTCTAGCGAAGATTGTGTGGTGGATTCATTCGGAGCCTGATTCACTATTGACACAAATTTGTAAGGGTAAGTACTCCCCCATGGATCCATCTTTTCGGGTATGATGCAATACCTTCATGGGGTTGGCAAGGGGGTGCTTCATAGTTGTCAGTTACTCAGACAGAGCATGGCTTGGCATATTGGCTTGGGTGACCTCATAAGTCATACCGATGGTGTCGGAAGGTTGGATTTGATCGATTCATCTGGATCGACCGTTAATTCGATCAAAGGCCCTTTTAGCTGGGAATGAGTTGGTCTAAAAAATGATTGATAAAGATCGAGGAAAATGGTGTTTGGAGTGTATACATTCGACATTCTATCCGAAGATGGTACAATGTATTTTGGAAATCCCTTTATCGAGGGTCTGTCGGATAGCCTCGTTTGGCGGGAGGACCTGCCAGGTGTTTATACGGTGAAAACTAGTTATAAATTGGCTGAGCAGAAATCCCGAATGGTGGGTAAATGGAAGCTAGAATGTAGTACGATGGATCAGACACTGGATTAAGGTTTGGGATATGCCAATTAAGCTAAATCTTAAGTTCTTTGCGTCAGAGCTTCTGCAAGGACTTTTGCCGACGATGGAGGCGTTGCCTGATAGAAAGGTGTCAGTCCTTGCAAGGTGTCTAATCTGCGCCAACATCTCTGTATTCAAATTCTATTGATCTAATTCTTTCACCGAGGCCAAACCAAGAAACCTCGTCTAGAATAATAAAATATGCTAGAAGGGAGGAGGAAGTACAAGGAAAACATATTTGGGATTCTAAATAAAATGGTGTTTACCTTACAATTATTCAATATAATAAAGATCAATATTGGATAAAGTAACCTTCTCAATATATCTTCACCTACATATAAATATACACTAACCATACTTTGTTTTTGCAATATGATTAGTATCATCCACTACTATATTACTGTGTTGCTCCCACACAATAAAAGTTCCAATAAACCCAATGTCATCATGTCTCCCCCTACTTTTGAAGACTTTTAACTTTTTTTTTTTTTGAAAATATGAAACTTTTTTTTCCTAAATCCAATGCAAGGGGAGCAAACAGATTACAACAGTGGTTTAATCAAGTTCGCATTAGTAATCCAGTCCACTGGTAAACAACCTTCACGAGCACTCTTAGCCACCCAATCAGCAATGTCATTGAAACGTCTCGGAGTGAACTCCACTGTGATCCAAGTTCCATAATGGAGAATGTCGATGACACGGGACAACGTTGCCTTGCACTGCCATTGCCAGAGATTGGGTGCCTTCTTCAGGGTTGTTGTCAGCGCCTCACAATCTAACTTCACACACGTGGGGCAGGTCACTTGGGCCGCCAACACAAATGCATTGAGGAGAGCAACTGCTTCCGCTTGAATCGGACAGGAACAAAAGAGAGTCTCAGCCCGTCCGTCATACACTTGACCATGGAGTCAGCAATAGTGATCCCATAAGCCACCACCTATGAAACAGAAGAAAAAGAGCCATCACAGTGCACAACACGAGGAAATGCAAAAGGCGGTGGTAAAGGGTGTGAACGGGATACCCTTGACTTAGGGGGCAATGATGCTGATCTAGAGGTTGAAGAGGCTTGAGGGTGAGTCCTAGCTTCTTCAAGACAATGGAAGTCGCACTCAGCCGTCATTGCAACGATGGTTAGGGAAGGAACCTTGGATTCGAAAAAAATCCATTTCGAGCAATCTAGATATTCCACAAATAGCAAGCAACCTTCTTAATCTGGACTTCCAAAAAATAATCTTTCAGCTTGAAGAACCATTATGATAACGAGGTCTCGGGCACGGGGATAGAATGAAGAAGACCAGATGACAACCAGGTGGTTGTCGCATGGTGACAATGGATCAAGTAGTGCATAATAGTTCATCATGGTTTTCACAAATAGCGCACCTTACACTCGGTGCACATTTACACGAGAGCAATCTAGCTCTGGTTGCAATTACACTTTTTGCACACATCCAAATAAAGAATCTGATCTTTAGAGACAAAGACCACAACCATCTCCAATCATCCTTGTTGGGTCCTATCAAATTGACCAACAAAGCATTGATATGCTGGTCACGAGTCTCTCAAAGTGCTCGATACGCAGATTTCACCTAATATGCACCATTGTTTGTGAATTTCCAGAATCATCTATCTTTAGCATTGATGGGGTCAATTGGACACGCAAAATAGCCATCGCTACCTCCTCTGGGACATTTGCCATCAAAGCTTCCAAATCCCACTTCCACTCAGGCATGGAGAACCAATCACACACTTTTGAGGGTTCCAAACCCAAACTAGGCAGAGAAAAATTAGGGAGAGATGGTACCTAAGGATCATTGTGGAAAGATGTACCTTCCCCTGACATTATCCCCTTCACCAATCCGATTTTTAATTTGTCTTTGGTGTCACAGAAACCATTCCAAATCCATGATCCTCTCCTTCCTTTTGCTGTTGAGAAAAGGTCACCTCTGGCATAGTAAAGCCCTTTGAGCAATCTGACCCAAAGCACATCAAAGCTATGCAACATACGCCACACTTGTTTCACGATGAGAGCATGGTTAAACATGTGAAAGTTTTTGAACGCCAAACCCCCTTCTTCTTTTGGTCTTTCCAATGTCCTCGCATCACACCAGTGAATGACTTCTTCTTCATATCTCTAGACAAAAAAAAAACGACGCAGAATTGCATCCATCAAATTTGTAAGGGATAAAGGAAGTAGAAACAGACTTATGAGTCATGATGTAGGAGGGGATTGCTTGAATGATTATAAGTAAAATTGTCTTTATCAAATTTGAATTGAGTTAGCTTACGACCTCAATATTTTTTTCAATGTTACAAATATAATGCTCTCGTGCTTAATGATATTTTTCCCGTAATTACGATATATTTTCATTAATCATAAAAATAATATTTATATCCCTCCTTTATGTTAGTTATGATATAATACAAATACTATATATATACTAGGAAAAAAAACTATATATAAAAGGAAAAAATCATTGGTCTAAGCATTTTAATCACAATAAAATTTTTGCCTAAGAAAGGTTATTCTCTCAATAGCAACAATATCCCACAATTTATCCAATAACCATTGTTATCACTTATCACCACACAAGCTAAGATTTACTCTCCAAACTTTATTTCCTTACAAAACCTTGTCAAGATTATAAATCCCTAGTCAAATTCATCAAAAGTGTCATGTCCATTTACCAACACTTCCATTGTCAAGAGAGATTATACAGCAAATAAAAGAAAGGAAATTAAAACAAAAGAGAAACGGGGCGATGTCATCAACCATGGTCACTGCTATCACCACCAGGTCACCGCTTCTTCTTCTAGTCCTGATCGTGGCTTTGGCGCTCGCCGGAACTTCGTCGGCATGGAAATTTCCGAGCCTGTGGCCGTACAAGCACGTCCACGTCATCAACGAGTTGACTACGTACAAAGGTGTCTTGCACGTTCACTGCTGGTCGGGAAAAGACGACAGGGGACATATCGATGTGGCTGTTGGGACGGAGTTTACATGGAGATTCAAGCCGAACATCTGGGGGACGACCAAGTGGACGTGTGAGTTGTCCACGGATGATCATCGCTACGCTAGCTTTGACGCGTACTGGGAGGATAACCATCAAGGGAAAAGGGAGTACAAACACAACATATATTGGGTTGCTAAAGAGGACGGTGTTTATCTTAGACTTATTAAACAGAACGTAGATCAATACTGGACAAAGTGGTCGTCGGGATTTATTTAGAACGACTTTGTAATAATTGTACGTCGGCGGCCTGCTTTGTTAGGGTATGAATAAAGGTTGCACAATATTACTAGTGATGAATTAGTTTTAATTGTTGTATTGCTCCGATGGTATATGTGTTCCTCCACATCAGCTCCGATTCGCAGCCGTTGTCCGTGTTGATCGAGTCCATTTGCAGCTCCCTCATGCTTAATGTTAATCTTTTAACTTCTAATTGGAAAATACTTAGAATTCTACCGAAAAAATGTAATTGTGGATTATAAGGATAAAGAAAAAGGTCAAATAATCCCACTGCATTTTATTCTGAAAAAAAAAATTGCAATTAGACAAGATTTGTTTAGGGAGCCCGTTTCAAAGTATTGGTGTTTCAAGGTACAACTTACAAGTTGAACTTGTATACCATAACATTAAGGACGTACTATTTGTAGCCCTAAATTATTTTTATTTGTAGTCCTAAATTATAAAAAGTACAATAATACCTATAACATTTAAATACATTTACTTCACACATTCCAAGACCAAAACATTCAAACACTTTTCCAAACACAATCCTACAATACTCACCGCCGGCGACCGCCACCTCCGACGACGACAGCTCCTTTCTCCGACGAGGTACGTCGGCAAATTACCCGACAACGACGGACGAAAGTCCGGCCGGGACGTCGCCGGCGACGGACGAACGTCTTGCCGGGACGTCGCCGATTTTTTATTTTATTTTTAATTTTTTGTTAATTTAAATTTGTGAAGTATATTAGATTTTTTAAAATATATTAATTTAAATTTTCGGTTATTATTTTAGATTTTTTAATTATCATATTGTTTAGAAAAATTTGTTCTAATATTATTTTTAAAATGAAGTTATTGAATTTTAATTTTTCATATTTCGAAACTAAGTTAATGTTTCCTGAATTTAGACTTTTAATTTCCATATTTTAAGAATATGTAGTGTTTTTATTATTGTAATTTATTATTTTATGAATATTGTAATTACCATATTTTTAGTAGGATTTTTTATAATATTATTTGTAGAATGAAGTTCTTTAACTTCATTTTTTATTATTTTGAAACTAAGTTAATGTTTACTAACAATAATTTAGACTTTGAAGAATATTTAGCGATTTTATTGTAGTTTATTATTTTATGATATTGTAATTATCATATTTTTTAGGATGGATTTGCTATAATATTATTTTTAGAATGAATTTCTTGAATTTCATTTTTTTATATTTTGAAACTATGTTAGTATTACTGAAAATATTTTTCTTGAATGTATTTCTTGAAGTTGGTCAAGTTCGGACTTCCGGATATCACTACATCAGATAATGAGTAACACGGTTAGTGAGGTAAACTTTTTAATTTTAGAATCATGTTGAATTATTTATTGTTATGATGAAGTCTAGTAATTGATAATATGCTTAAATATTTGCTTTACAATGATACATATTGTTTGAAAAATGTTGAATTATTGCTTTTACTATCTTGTTGATAATTTAATTAGTACGTGTCTACTTGTTGTAGGTTGAAATATTAGGATTTGGTAGTTAATCATGTTAAATGTGCTAATTTTTTATTGAAAATGTATTGGATTAGTTAATGTTCAAATATTGAATAATTGTTACAACGTTGTGTTGTTGATAATTTAATGAGTACGTGTCTACTTGTTAAAAACTTTTTATTGCATATTGAAATATTAGGATTTGGTAGTTAATCATGCTAAATGTGCTAATTTTTTGTTGAAAATGTATTGGATTAGTTTATGTTCGAATATTGAATAATTGTTAATAACATGTTTAATATTTTTTAATAAGAAGATAAATATAAAATCTAATATTGCAAACAAGTCATCAAATTTTCTAAAACTTACATAAGACTCAATCCATTTTCAAATTGTAAGAATTCAATTTACAACAAACATTACAAGTCATGAAAAGTGTTGAAACTTATGTAAGACTCGATCTATATCAAATTGGAATAATTTAATCTACAACAAACATTTCAAAATTAGTATCACTAATAAGATAAATGTGTTTATTTTAGGGAGATCCGAAAGATAAGGGAGACAAAGTTGATTATACTCAATTTTTCATAACAAATACAAGATATAAGTCATGGAATGAAGCTATGGAAGCTGCGAAAGTGATTGCAAAAGATCTTGGGTTCTTTTTGACACATTCATCAACCAAATCAAATGATGGCGAGATGTACTCCCGAATATATCTTCACTGCCATCGTGGATATAAGAACAATACAAATGTCCCAGATCCGGATAAGAAAGGACGATCCAACACAAAGTCACTTAAAGATGGTTGTCGTTTTCGAGTGAGACTGGTGGGACTCCCGGAGGATAAGACTTGGATGATTGATGGTGTGAAGGACAATCACAATCCGGGACAATTTTGTGGGTTTCACAACCATGCATTAGAGCTTTATCCCGAAGGCCACACTCAGAGGAATGCTTTTACTAATGAAGAGCTAAAGGATATGAAGGAGATGGAATGGGCACGTGTTGCTCCTCGAAAAATGATGCAAACTATCAACCAAAAGTATGGTACTCACCATAACAAACGACAATTTTACAACATGACAGCAAATATAAGGATTGAGAGATTGAGTGGCATGACCCCTTCGGATTGGACGTTACACCATGCGAGAGAGATGGGGTACTACATTGGCTACAAGCGTGATGATGGTCACCCTCGACGGCTCTACCTCCTTCAACTTCTTCTTTCCTCTTGTATCCACCATTTTCTACCTATTAAAATTTGAATTAAAATTATTGTCAGATTATTATCATCATGTAATAGTTATTAGCAATGTTCATATTAGCAATGTTCCTATGATAATTGTTAGTTCTCATATAATAAATTTTTATATTCAAATGTTCAAGGTTTGTATATTTGTCTATTATAATTTAACATTCGTATATAATTTCAATTACAATAAAATTATCATCACAATATAATATTCGAAATTATAATGAATTTCACAATAAATTCTAACTTAATTTTCTTGCTTAAATTGTCTATTATAATTTAACATTCGTATATAATTTCAATTACAATAAAATTCCCATCACAATATAATGTTCAAAATTGTAATGTATTTCACGATGAATTCTAACTTAATTTTCTTGCTTAAATTGTCAATTGCAATTTAAGGTTCGTACAACAATTAATACTTACTATGAAATAAAATTCTATATTTAAATTATTAAACTTTCTTATATTTATCAATTAAAATTTACCTTTCCTATCTAATTTCAATTAAATGAAAACATTAACCAACATAATTTTCGTATATATTAAATATTAACATATTTAAAGAAGATAATTAACATATATAATTTAAACAGATAATTAGAGTAATTAACCTACATTAAATCATAATAATTAAAGCATATAATTAACCTACATAATTAAAGGAGATAATTAAAGTAATTTTTTAAATTAATTTAAAGTATATAATTAACCTACATTAAATCATAATAATTATAATAGATAATTAACCTAAATTTAAAAAAATGTATTTGACCGCCGCCGGCGAGGGCGACGTCCTGCCCAGGCGTGTCAAACGGCCGGTGTCCGTCGCCGGCGACGTCTGGACAGGACGTCGCCCTTGCCGGCGGCGGGTCAAACGGCCGGTCGTCACCTCCTTCGTGCAAAAATTAAAAATTACCTTCGCGAAGCGCTCTGATTTCGTCTCCGGCGAGAGGTGGTCGTCTCCGGGGAGAGGTGGTCGTCGTATTTGAGAGGAAACCGGCGACAGGAGAGAAGGGGCGAGTCACGTCTCCGGCGAGAGCTCGTCGTCGCCGGCGAGAGCTCGTCGTCGCCGGCGAGAATATTTGGGAGGAATCTAGGAGGAATCCGGCGAGTTGAATTGGGAGGGAAGGGAGTGTTTGGTTGGAGTTGTAACAAGTTCAATATTTTAAAAGGAAGGAAGGGTAAAATAGTAATTATATTCTCATAGGGCTATAAATAAGAAAAAGTTAGGGCTATAAATAGCAATTCAGTAACATTAAAGATACAAGTTTAGTTTGTATTATAACAGAATATGTACGGAAAAATGTATAGGTACAAAATAAAATTATAAAATAACGTGAAGGTACAAGTTCAGTTTGTACCACAAGGAATTTGTACAAAAATGTATTGGTACAATTTGTAGTTTGTATCATATATGATTTGTTTTTCAAATGAAAGCATCAATGCTATGAATCATTGTAAAATTCCTCTTCTTTTGGGACTTAGATCTTCTTCTTGTTTTGTCAAAGGTAAAACCATTTTGTTCTAATCAATAAATGGGTTGTTTGTTTATTGGATTTGGGTCATGAATTTGGTATCAAAATCCCAAGTTTGATATATTTAACCAAGTATATTGTTTGTTAATGGGAGTCAAATTCGTTGGGTTAATGGCTAGTGATAAATGTAACAAACGCATCAGAAATATATGCAAAGTTCACGTGCATAGCCATAACTATCGGCTTTGTGACAATAATATCCGTATCGTTGGTGGTACAGGTATTGAGAAGTTCAGTACAGTTTACACTTTGAGAGGATTATTGGTTATAAGGTATTCGGAGTTTAATCAATTTTTTTTTTTTTGAGAAACAGGGCGCAAAGGGCGCCCTAGCCTGCATTAAGAACTGACAAAACGGGGCGTTTGAATCCCCAGAGTATCAAAGTACAGCCAATATAGAAGAGTGTTACTCGGGTTATGAATCGCATGAACCCCTATAGGAACAGAATGGCCAATGGAAGCGAGGTGGTCAGCCACGAAATTCGCTTCTCTGAAAACATGCTCTATCCTGACAAGCCAATGCCGAGCTAACCATTGGCGGATCTCTGCGACGCAGGAGTAATGAGGATGCTGCGGAGTCGCTTTCTCGATCAACGTCCGGGCAGTGCAAGAGTCTGTCTGTAGAACAACCTTCCTGATCCCCTCTTCCCAAGCGAATCTCAACCCATGAGCAATCCCAGCCAGCTCAGCACGAGTGATCGAACCCCCTCCTAGGTTCGCTGTGAATGCTTTTATAAAGCGGCCATCGTCTCCCCTCACGACGCCGCCACAGCTCGTGCTCGCAGGAGAGAGAGAGAGTAGCTGAGCCATCGGTGTTAACACAGGCCCAACCACTCGGCGGTAGCTTCCAGTTGATTTCCCGCCTCTCTCGGAGTCCCCCGGCTCCGAACACGTTGCTCTCCTTCTCGAAGGCCTTGGTGATCCGAACACGTTTAATCAAATTGTTGATTACCCATAATAATATTCCATGTAATATCCAAAAAATATATAAAGAAATGTCATTGGTGTGAATATTCCATGTAATATTCCATCATAATAATATTTTTTTCATAAGAAAGGTTGATTGATCTATCAATAGCACTATCATCCCCAAAATTATTCAATAACCATTTTTATCATCACACGGGTAAGACCGTAAGAGTAACCTTCCCAATTTTCTTTCATTAATGCAACCTTATCAACATATAAATTTTCAGTCACCAATCCCAGTAAAGTTCATGCCCATTTATCATCCTATATAAATACTTTCATCTTAGTCATAACTCATAATCCCCACAAACTCAAACCACATACAAAACACAAATAAGGATGTCAACCATGGTCACACCTATCACCAGGCCGTCACTACTTCTAGTCCTGCTTGTGGTTGCAACACTCACCGAAATTTCATCGGCGTGGAGCATATGGCCGTACAAACACATCCACGTCATCAACGGTTTAACCAAGAGTGTCTTGCACGTCCATTGTCGATCTGAAAATGACGACAGGGGGTATAATGATGTGGCTGTTGGGGCGGAATTCACATGGAGGTTCAAACCACATGTATTCTGGACCACCAAGTGGACATGTGAGGTGTCCACAGACGATCAGCGCCGTGCTATCTTCGATGCGTACAAGGAGGACGCAGACGAACAGAGCAGGGAGCATAAGAACAATACATATTGGGTTGTAAAAGAGGATGGAGTTTACCTACGACATATCGAAGATAATAAAGATCAATACTCGACAAACTGGCAATAAATTACATATTTTATTATTGTTTAAATAAGATTTGAACAAAGTTGTTGCTATATTATTGTATGCCCCTATTAAATATAGAAGAAATTATGTCAATCCACATTCCTATTTTTAATTTCCAAACTCATACTGGCCGTGAGGCTTTTCATCATCATCCACATCTCATGGTTTTCGTATGTCCCAGGATAATTCTGGTTTCTTATATCATCTTTTTTTATGGTTAGCTCAAAATGTCATTAAGCTCCGACAAAACAAATAGCAAATATTATAACGCCTATCAAGAACAAGCAGCAGTGTCCTGAAGCAACTGACTTTGGACTTTTCACTGCAGCACAACCATACAGACTGGAACAATTAGGGGTGGCTATACGGTCCGGTCCGGTCCGGTTAAATTTGCCCAAATTGATCTGGTCCAGTTCGGGTTTTTTGAAAATATAAGGACCGAATATTGGATTGGATACAGTCCGGTCTTGACCCGGTCCAGTCCCAATTCGGTCTTGATTTTATAGTGAGATTGTGGGAATTTGAGTGGCCTAAGGCCTAAAAGGGTGAGGAGTTGGTTAACTTTTGTACTAAGTGCAAAGGTTTGTGACCGTTTATGCAAATTACCCTTAAGTTTTGGGTGTTGAGCTCTCTTATCCGGTCTTTATCCGGTTTTTTACCTCAAATCTAAGCCCAAAGATTGGATTGGAATGTTTACTATCCGGTCTCGGTCCGATCTCGGTCTGAGTTATACGATCCGGTTTCCGGTTTTTCATCCGGTCCCGGTCCAAATAGCCAGCCCTAGGAACAATGTTCCCTCCAAATCAAACATATAACAACCCTCCATACAACTCTTCCAATAACCACTGCAGTTTGACTTACCACTCCATTTGTTCCACCTTTCAATTCCCTCCATGTAAATTTTCCTACCCACATTTTTTAATAACTCAAGCCCGTGCTAGTAAAACCGTACCAGCGGTCCAACTAAAAACCCTCCTATGAGAATTGACGTCGATATAAATTTTTATCGGAACTAAACAATTGGACCACATTTATACCATATTTTAAGTACAAAATACTCTACCATCCACTTATCGACTACGAGTGTACAACCTCCGATTCTGCAATCTCAACAAAAGCAATTGGGCCAGAAAACCTGTTTGACTCATTGGGCCGAAGCTTGTGATGAGGTGTGGGCGTAGTCTGTGTTTCCTAGTCGCAAACCGGAAGCAGGCCCAATGCACAGCCCATTTGTTGGCCATCCTCTGAATAATGAATATTACAACAAAATTAGCCAATCATCTTCCCCAGCAGCAGGAGAAAAACCCGCGGCGGCCGCTGAACAGCCGGCGACGAAGGCAGAGTATTCACCTCCCACTCTCCGATCGTCCAACGACTGAACTCGAAGAAGAATCAATTTCGAGACTCCCAGGTGATTCGGCCAACTCGTTTGTCAATCTTAAACCCTAAAGCCTCAGAATCGAATTCCAATCCAATTTCTGGTTGCATAGGGTTTCCTATTTCTTGATTATTCAGGGTTCTCTTCCTAAATGTGTTTCCACGAATTAATGTCAGTTTCTTAGAGCTTAAATTTCATGGTGGGTCTTTTTCCCCACAGGTGACAATCTCTGAAAAGATGTTCCATTTCACCTCGAGGCTTTGCAGAGGTTTAAATCTGAAGGAGCTCGTCACTAGTGCCCCTATCTATGAAACCTTCACCGGTAAACCTTTCAATCTGATTCCATTTTAGTTCTCCGTTTGAATCCCCGACATAAAATCTCATTCCTTATGTAATGGAATGAAAATATGTGGTTCTGGTTTCCAGATGTGTCCGCCGGCGGCGGCCTGAACGTGATGTTCCGTCGATGGGCTACAAAGAAAACAGCTGGATCCACGAAGAACGGACGGGACTCCAAGCCCAAGAACTTGGGAGTTAAGAAATTCGGTGGGGAGGTTAGTTGTTGTGAACTTGCTTTACTGAAATATAGAAAGATTCAATCTTGTGACGGAGAATGAGGGTTTTCCATTTTGATTGCAGAGGGTGATTCCAGGGAACATCATAGTTCGTCAGCGAGGGACACGATTTCATCCTGGAAATTACGTCGGAATTGGAAGAGATCACACTCTGTTTGCATTGAAGGAAGGAAATGTCAAGTTCGAGACTCACAAGCTCAGTGGCCGTAAATGGGTTCACATTGTCCCCAAAGAAGGCTATGATCTCCACCCTGTTTACGCCGATGGAAGCTCTGCTTGCCCAGAGATGGCGATGAAGACCTCCTCTTGAAAACTTTCGAAAGGAATCGGTCTGGTGTTATCAATAACCCTCTTTGTACTTCTTTGTTTGTCTCTTTCATGTACTTTGGATTTGTCAAGAGGGAAAGAACAGATTTTGTAGAACAAATACACATTTTGATTTCAATACTTGCAAGCTATGCATTAGGGAAAAGTGATCAATTACAGTGGTGGGAGGTGGAAAGAATTTGCAGCCTGTTTCTGAAAAACCATAAACAAGCTCTTAAAAAATCTAAAGAATCTCGGAACAATGGTGATTGATTGATCAGTACGCTTTGTCAAAACTGTTCTAGCAATCCACTTTCAATGCTCGTAATCTGGCTCTTGTCGCTCTATGTCTTGAATCTCGAGTGGCTCGGGGAATATCTCGTTCGACAGTCTCTTACTGTACCCAATCCTACCGCTGTTATGAGATCCTATTCTCACCGGCTGCTTTGATCCACCAACTGCTACGGCATTCTCCGAGGAGCTATGCCGCCAGCTCCCAAAGAAAGCACTGCTCCACGACGACCTCCTCGAGGATGTCGTTCTGAGCCGCCCTGAACCATAGCTGTCTGCCCTTACTACTTTCATAGGGTTCTCCAATGCTTTCAGAATGTACTTCATGGGAGGACGTTTGGAAGGCTTGGGATTCAAACATGACCTGGCAATGATGGCCATGGCCCAAACCTCTTCGAGCAAGTCCTCATCAACCATCATTGATGGATCGACGATCTTGGTCACCAGCTCTTTGTCATAGATGCTGATGTAAGGGAGCGTTTGGTCGAGCCAATCTCGAATCGTGGCATCATCCGATTTGTTGCTGATTCCGAGCTTGCCTGTTACTAGCTCAAGGAGGACCTTACCGAAGCAGTAGACGTCGTGTGCACAGGTCGCCATTAATCCTCCTCTAGAGCCTCCAGCTTCGGATGATCTGTTATAAGCAAAGAGTTTTGAGTTGCGGATTGAGCAAAGAACAATCAAAGATGAAGGCGAGGGGAGAAAAGAACTGAGAAAATACTTACAGTTGTTTTCTCAAGAACCTTGTGATGATCTTGTTGTGGTGTGATTCTGGGCCTTCCTGGACGTGGACCGAACTTAAGCTTCCAAGTCGAACTTCGAACTTGTCGTCAAGAAGAATGCTACTTGCTTGAACATCCCTTTTAGAAGAACAAAAGAAGATGCATTGAGTGAGCAATTGCAGTCAAGCGTATTACCATAACTTGTGAACTAAAGTATCTTCTAGCATAGAATACCTATGAACAACAGGAGGATTACACTCATGGTGCAAGTAACAAAGCCCTTCAGCAGCTCCAGTAGCTATCTTCAACCTTGTGATCCAATCCAATGACTTCAAACGATCTTCTTCGTCAACATTGCTAACCTTGTGCAATGAGCTAGCCAAATCTCCATTCACCATATACTTGTACACCAGAAACTTCTCATTCTCATTCTCCAAACAATGCCCTAAAAGAGGCACCAATCTAGCATGCGAATACTTGCTGAAAAATTCCAGCTCCACCAATTCCTTCTTGGCAGAACGAGAATCGATCCTCTTCACAACAATCGGACTGCCTCCTTCGAGGAGGCTTTGGAATAGATCTCCAGAGTGACCATGTTTGATCAGATTCTTGTCTGCTAAGTCACTTGTCAAGTTGCTGAGCTGTTCATATGGGAATGACTCACCAATACCAGAAATGAAAGCGAGATCTTTCGCCACTGATGGAGGGTCATTATTATTATCTCCTTCAGGAACCGGTCCAACGTTAGCACTCCCTCTAGGGCTTGATCTGTTCCTATCAAACTTCCTGAGAAACAATACCATCACAATAGCCAGGACCAAGATGAACCCTATTGCGCCAACCACCCCTACTAAGATGTATATCCATTGCTTACTTCTTGATCTTCGGGGATTGAATTCTTGTGATGGTAATGGAGCTCCAAAATCGTCGAAAGATAACCCTCTCCGAGAGTAAAACATCCTGCAATCCTCCAAACTCCTTTGATCAGAAACTGCTTCTAAGCAGTTCAAGCTAAGAACCACATTTCTTGGAGTTCTTCCACCATTGACCACCTTTCCTTGGATGTAGTTTCCAGATAGATCAACGGAACTAGAGTTATCGAACTGAGAAGATAGAGCTCCATACAACAAATTGTTCGATAGATTCAACGCGGCTGAACCAGCTGCATTGCCATTGAAACTAATGCTCTGCACATCACCTGTGAAGTTATTCCCAGAGACATCCACAATCTGCAGATCAGGCAACGCAAACAATGCACTAGGCAGTCTACCATCTAGCTCGTTGCTCGAAATTACCATCTTCTGCAAGTTGTTTAGCTTGGATAATCCATCAGGCAATGAACCAGAGAGTGAGTTCTTGCTGAGATTAAGGTCAACCAATTGAGATAATGCACCAAAATCATCAGGGATTGAACCGGCGAGACTGTTATCGGATAAATCTAACGACTTGAGCATTGAAATGTTGCCGAATCCGGGTGGAATCGACCCGGATAAGTAATTGGAAGAAAGATTGAGACTTGACAAGTTCCTGAGTGAAGCCAAACTCCACGGGATCGACCCAGTAAGCAGATTCCTAGAGAGGTCAAGAATTGACATTCGACTCAGCTGCCCCAATGTAGATGGCAGGGCGCCGGCGAGCTGATTTTCAGAGAGGTAGAGAGCATTGAGCTGAGTTAACTCACCGAGCGTCGCCGGAATCGGGCCGGTGACTGAGCTCGCCCGGAGATCAAGAACTCGGAGCGACGACCCGAATTGCGACCCGAACCAGTCCGGGATGGAGCCCGGGAGGGCGAATCCCGAAGCATTGAAAACCTCCAATGAAGTGAAATTCGCCATGGCGTCGACGGAGAACCCGGGATTCAAACGCCCGACCCGGGTCCTCCTGAACCCGGAAACGTTGATTCCGGTGACCCGGCCGTCGCCGCCGCACTGGACTCCCTTCCAATTCGCGCACGGGTCGGATTTTATCGGCCAGTCGGAGCTTCGGATCCCTAAAGACCCCCGGAGATCGATCAGCGCCCTCCATTCCACCCGCGAGCTCAGCAACACACTCCTCTGCTGCGCCGCCGCGCAGCGAATCAAAACCCAGATCAGTAGCACCAACCGGAGCAAACCCCGCCGGCATTCTTCCATTCAGCTCAGAGATAAAAAGATACCAATCCCAATATTTCAGCAGAGAGAGACACTTAAACAAAATCTGGACGGCCGTTCAATCACAGAGTCGACTACTCATGGCCGCATTCGCCGGCGGCGGGAACGCTCTTCTTTAGCTGGCTTTATTTAGCTCCCTCTCTGAAAACCCAACAAAAAGGAAAAGTCTGAAGGGGAAAAACTGAAAAAGGGAGAAATCGTGGAATTGTTTTTGTTCACTATTATTCAATTAATTAATCAAATAAATAAAATAAAAACCTTTTCCTCACAGATTGCAACATTCTCACCTCCAATCACGAGCTTTGATTCTGCAATCGATGCAATTGTTTTCTACAATACTCTGTTTTTCTACAGTTAGCCGTTGTTGTTACTCTGTTCCTTCTTCTACGACTAAGCTGCTTCTTCTACCTCTGTTCCCTTCCCAATAAACAAATCCTTCTCGGCATTTAATGCCATCCCAGGCTGTCTCAACTCAATCTCAATCCCCAAAAAATAAAAAACAAGGCCACCACCCAATTCCCACAAAAGGGAAAAAGGGTGAAAAAACAGAGTATGGATGACAAATTGATGAAGAAGAAGAAGAAGAAGGGCATTAATGGTGGAAGTGGTGCGGGGCGGGATAAATGACTTCCTTCCTTCCAACCAACCGCCGAGAGAGTCACTGTATGCCGAGTCGCTTTCAGTTATCTCTTTCTTCCTCGCCGGAGAGATAGCTTTTAATGAAAACCCAGCGCCCCTTCCTCTGTTTTTCCACCCCTTTTTTCTGCTTTAACTTACCTTGGCCAATCTGGGTGGAATTAGGACTCGCAGAGGAAGAAGAAACAGGAAGGAGAAGGAAGATGGTGGTGGGTAGTGGAAGTGGGTGGGTGGCCTGGCTTTGACCGGCTTTAAAAAAGGCTGGCAACAGTGGGCAGCCAGCCAGCCAGTGACTAAAGAGTAAAGAGACTTTGTTTTTTCTTTCCTTTGTTCTAAATCAATCTGGTTCATGTTGTTGTTTGATTACTTTTGATTTTGTGCAATTTGTTATACTGGGTAATTTATTTAAAGTTCGTATCTTTTTCTGTGGATTCGATCTTAGTTAGCCTTACGTGTAGATTTGTTTCTCTCGACTTGGATTTGAAGCTTCTGCCACGTAGCTTCCTCGTCGGCTTCTTGTTGATGTAATTGACGGAATTTTAACGGCGTTAAAGTTTTTAATAAAATTGGCTAAATTTGTCAAATATTTTTCTAAAATCTGGACATTTTGTGTATTTTTCATAAATTGGCTATTATTGTCACAAAGTCGATAGTTATAACTATGCAAGTGAATTTTGCCTAAAAATTATACAGCCTATGAAAAAAATGTTCGAAAACAAGTAACTTGAAAGCTTCGCTTGTATGTGAAGATTTCAAATCCGTCTCTGGTGGAGATGTTGACCTTTCGGGATGCAATACGTTGGTGTTTGGTACATGGATTACATTCAGTCATCTTTGCTTAGGGCTGGTAATCGGTCGGTATCCGGTATACCGGATAACATTGTGTACCCACCGAATACCGATACCGAATGTTATCCGGTATTGATACTGGTATACCGAATACCGGTTAATGCATTGAGTTATGTTTTCGAGCAGGTATACCGACTTAATACCGATACCGAGTGGGCTGATTTGGGCTTTTTTTGTTCTTTTTATTTTTCTGAATGTTGTTTAATTAAATGATGTAAATAATTTTGTTTGTTTATTAATTATTACTATATTGTATTGCTATCGTCTAGCAAGTTTTATTAATCAACAATTCACTATTAGTTAATAGTAATAAGTAATTAGTTAATTAGTTGTTTATCTAATAGACCCTTACAGCTTACAAGTACATCTCACTTATAATGAACGATTTACCAATAGTCCAATACTCCATTAGGCAATGACATTGTTAATGTCAACTACATTCTACACAAGTAGTTAGTAGATAAATATAGCATTACTACTACATAAGTACATATTCTCAAACATGAAATAATTCACAAATTCCATCATCCAACAATCAACAATTCAACATAGTCTCACTCTCACAACATAAGTTACACTTACAAGTTCCAACTTAAAATAAAATTCTCCAACATAAAGATAGCATAACTACACCACTAAGATTGACCACTAGCTCCTCCATCGCTAATATGGCGCGAACCGCCAACATCGGCACAACCTTGCTTCTTCAAAGTGTTGAGAAGAACATCATTATCATCCTCCTCTTCATCCTCCAACCCCAAATTCCCCCTCTCTACTCTACCCCTCGATTCTTTACTTCTTCCCCCATCCCCTACTATGTTCCAAGTTCCAACCCCAACTTCCCCCTATCTACTCTACCCCTTGATTCTTTACTTCTTCCCTCTGTTCCCACCCCAACTTCCCCCTCTCTACTCTAACCCTTGATTCTTTACTTCTTCCCCATCCCCTTCTCTCGCACTCCTCCACTCTCCACCCTCAATTCAAAATAACAATCAAAATTCACAATATCATCTAAGTCATCTAATTCACACATGCTACTTCTTACATGCTACTTGATGGCTGATGCTTCTTCTTCTAGTTATTCGTGTTGATTGTTGAGACTTGAGAGTTGCCTGCTGTTATAGCCTCGAGAAAGAGCTTATTACCTTCGTCTATTCACCAAAATCAACAAAACAAAGTTAGCAAATCAGTAGGGGAGGGAATCATCATCAATGGTGGCTGGAAAATGGGAATCATCAACTGAGAATGGGGAGGAAATGGGAATCATTACCTCCTTTAATTACCAGCAGACAGCAGTCTCTGCCCTCGAGAAGAGAAGAGGAAGACAGACACGGGGAGTCGGGAACTGCTGCTGCCCCTGCCTGCTGGGCGATGGCGAGGTGAAGAGAAGAGGAAGATAGGGCTCGGGGCTGGCGAGTCGCGACTGCTGCTGGCGAAGAGGAACACAGACGACACGTGGTGGTGGAGCACGGCGTCGCGGCAAGCTGGCTGCCAGCGCTGGGTTTTGACTTTTGAGTGACGACTTTCGCCTTCCCGCTTCCGACCTTCGGCGCAGGGTGCAGGGACTCGCCGCTGGCGAAGAGGAAGAGTGGAAGATAGACGAATCGTGGTGGTGGAACGCGACGAGGTGGAGGGAGAGGAACAGAATCGTGGTGGTGAATCGACGAGGCGCAGGGTGCAGAGACTGGCGGCTGGGTTTCGACTTCTGAGGCGGATGGAGAGGAACAGAGACGAGGTGGAGGGCGGGCCGCGGGGAGTCGATTTGCAAAAGCCATTTAGGGTTCTCCTTCCCCAATTCCGCTACCACGCTGCGCTGTCTTTTTCCTCTTTTTTTTTTTTGGAATTCGGTATTCGGTATACCGATTTACCGTCGGTATATAACTAATCGGTATTCGATATACCGTTTGTCCAAAAACTGCAGCCGAATACCGATACCGCCGGTATTCGGTATACCGAATACCGATTGTAATCGGTTCGATACCCGGTTATACCGAATACCGGTTTACCGAATACCAGCCCTATCTTTGCAGGTGATGCCCAAGTAGTAATTAAAAAGATCCGGAAGGGCCAGGTCGATAATGTTCTGGGTGGCAAGATCTTGGAAGAGATTAGAAATTTGAGAGATTCGTTCCAAGTGTTTGACATCTACTTTGTTGGTTAGCCTTGTAACATGGTTGTCGATCTTGTGGCAAGAAAAGCTCTTTCGATGTTGCCTTTTTTAGTAGGACTCGATTTTATTCCTTGACTATTTTCAGCCGTATGACTCTTTGTATCGCTTTCTCCAAGTTTTTATCCACACAAAATTATGTTTAAGTTTAATGCTTCGTCGGCAAACCTCGAGCGTCTGGTTGCTTCGCCAAATGGGCCTTGAAATCATTCCCCGGCGGAGCCCACGCACTCTCCCTTTCTTTTTCCCGGCGACTATCTTCCCGACGGCTTGTATGTTTGGACTTTTCTGTTCGACTTATTTTGTCAGCAGAAACAAATTTATATCTATAATTCATTATGTGAAAGAATACCTATACTAATAAGCACTTCTACTATTCCATAGCATTGGTGTTTTAATGTTACAAGTTAATGTTGTAACATAGCGCTAAATGTATAAGTTCAGGTTATACCTTAAATTTGTAGCTTTATGTTATAGTACAACTTGAAGTTGTACCATCAAATAAAGGCACAAGTTCAAGTTGTACAATAAAAGAATTTGTACAAAAGAGTGTAGGTACAAGTACCATAACATTAAGGTACAACTTCAAATTGCAACATAAAGGCAAAAACTTATAACACCAATGCTATATAGCATTGCAAAATTTCTCTATAATAATTCATTTGCGTAATTCATTAACTTTCACATTACTTAAATATAGAACATTTATTCAATATTGTACCAATGCAAAACAAACCGCGTACCCCCAATGATACCAAGACAACGATATGATCAATCGTTGATGTGATCGAGTTCTGGTGAATTTGTATAAAAGCAAAACATTACTTTTTACAACAATTAGAAGATTGACTATGAAACGCGTGGTGGATTTACATAATTTAAGTCGTCTGGAAAACATAAATTTCAAGAACTAGTGTATTCAACAAGTGGAATGGAAAAAGTTTATAAAATGTAAGAATATCGTGTTTGGTTCGCAAGATTAATTACGGAATACATATGTTGGTAGAAAAATGAAAAATGAAAAACAACACAGCCCCATAGAAAACATGTATTTTGAAAATCAATAGGTTGATTGCATGTTTGTCAAACCATCCCGACGCTAGTTACAATTATTAAATTTAAGTTATCCACAGTGAAGGAGGTAGGTTGAAGTCACAAGGGGCTATAGCCCCTTTAAATTTTAAATATAGATATTAAAATTACTAACAAATCTGAAATGGACTAATCGATAATGCCTTAACCCCTCTTCCAATTATCCTGACTCCGCTATAGCTAATTAGTGATGATATCTTGTGTTATTTTATCTCTCCCTCTTCTTTTTCTTTTACTTCAAAACTTTAACTGTTCTTCTTTAGCTTTTAAGTTAACACTGAACTCAATTATTCTGCAATCATAATCAAGAACCCAAGCTAGCCTTTTTTTTCCATTTATTGATTATTATATGGGGAACACGTGTTGCAATGATAGCATACGTGGTTTTTTTGTATCTATTGAGGGGAAGGGGGCCTTAATTAAAACATAAACGTCGTAATTAATAACGACAAACAACTGAAAAACGGACCACGACGAGACAGCCATCATGATTATGACTTTCACTAATCTCTCTCTCTGCCTGTTATAATTCGGTTCGGTTCGGTTTTTCACCCAAAACCGAATTTGTGAAGTTACTTGTATTTTCTCACTTTTACATTATTTTTCACCCCTAATATAAACAATAAATATCAATTATATGCATCATCAATGATAAAATCAAACTTTTCAACACATAAGTCATAAAATATTTCAAATATTTAACTCTAAAAACAACTACAAACATAAAAATCCACCATTTGGAGCTTGCAATTATAGTATTTCGGTTTTTCAGTCGAAAATTCGGAAATTCAGTTCGGTTGAAAGAACCCTGGTTTCCGAACTATCCATATTTTCCTTCCGAATTCCGAACCGAATAGCATTAATTCGGTTTCGGTTTGGTTTAATTCGGTTTTGGTTCGGTTCGGTTCGAGTTTACTGAACCGTTTGCCCACCCTACTGTCTGGGGTCATTTAAATTACATTATTTTAGATTAGTTGACGCAGCCAAAATTAGCAACTCTTTTCACACTTAAACGCGCTTTAATTTCCACTTGCGATCATGACTGAAAGAAAACGAAAGCATACGTTATCACGAGAGAGGTGACCATAGCTATGAATTTTCATGCAAATTGTTCAAAAGAGGAAACAGTTACATACGTAACGTCAAAGGATGTTGAAAGGTTAGAAAGCTACTGTTG